AGACATTTCAGCTAATCCTTAGAGTAGTATTTTTAACACTTTCCAAACCCAACCACCACATCAAACCGTATCATATGCTGCAGGCTCATTCACAAAGATCACTTCCCAGTCTGCATAGGGGAGCACCTTCAAGGTGGCACACAGGTAGGATCAGAGATGCTCTGTTGCAACCTTACCCAAGATTGGCAAGAAGGTATGGGACCCTTGGAAAGAACCACAAAAGGCTCAGTAATAAGCACTTTAGGACAGGTGTGTATTAAACCAAGTAGATGTTGCCTATGAAATATATCACAGAGAAAACTTCGTTCCACTGCAGCAAACCACATACTTCAGCCTCAGGGCGTAACAAACTAATCTAGGAAACAATCTTTTCTTGTAGAGAGACACAGCTCTTCTACTTGATGGGTCACACATACACATCTTGCACATTCAAGGCCTTTTACACATCAGTGACACACGTGTGCCTCTGAGCTGACAACTCCTCTAACACTGTCCATTTCATTTTACATTGTCACCGAGTTGCTTTGAACCATAAAGCATGTGCTCGCTTCCCATGCAGACAGTGCTGGGCACATCACAGCACTCCACAGCAAGGACTCCATGAGGTTCCTCTCATCTCCTCTTCTGTTCCCTGCAAAGTTCACAGGCTAACTATTTTCACTTCATTATCTCCTGCAGTCAGAGAGAAATAATCTGTTGAGTAACTTCTTTCTCACCTGGCTCAAGTGTTAGGAATGTTGCATGGTCATTTATATAGAAATTCACCTGGGTCCGTGAGGAAGACTTTTGGCTCCCACTCTGGAATACAACCACTCCATTTCCATGAAATATCACTTGCATCTCACTCCAGTCAACAGGAATAAAAGCACCCGTCTTTAACAGATGTCATGAACGGTTTCCAGATTGCCACAGCTTTCCAACGTTTTCTAGTTGATTGTTAGTACAAGATTCCTGTAAGTCATCAGCCAGCGATGCAGCCTCTTGCTCTGCTCATCGTGTTCCGACTGATGACGTGAGCTGTCAGACTGCAAACTCAAAGTTGTCAAATAGCTATAATTTGCAGACTTGGTAAAAGAGTTTCAAATTCCTTTGAGCAAAGGACTTCAGAAATGCGTTCAGTGGAATTTAGGGCCTGTGAAAGTCGGTGCAGTTTTCTAGATGGAGCAGGGTCTCCATAGGACAGCACAATGTCAGTAAAGCAGCTTTGGTCTAAGTCAGAGCCCGCCATTAGACATGAGTTTATATTCCCACTGAATGAATTACCACAGAACCTTTAAAGTCCAAGTCTAAAACCACAGTCATTGTAGGATTTGCTTTTCTAGACACCTATTAGAATCACTTGGACATTTATTTGCTAGAACTTCACTACTTTCCAGTAGATTAACTAACAGCTAGAAAGCTGTTGGCCTTAAAATAAAGCAAAACCCACAACAGAAAGCATTTTTTGTCAGCTTCTGGGGCTGATCATACATTGCAAAGTAGTTTTCTGTATTCCCCTTCTGTTTTCACAAGTGTTACTTGCATTTGACTGTCAGCTACTCCTATGCTGACTAAATCAGATAATCTCAGTATCACAGTCCACCCTTGGTTGTTTTCTGTTCTTCCTTCTATTAACTGTGGTCTCTGTGCTTATATTTAGTATATACATATGTACCCAGGGCTTGGTGGTGTAACACGATGGCCTTATCTGTGTAAATCAGGAGCTGAGAATTACTCTCTTGTGAATTACATACACATCTCCTACAAGCTTATACCAAATGTTCTAAGCACCCCACTCTGGTGCGTGTTGTACTCAAGGTGTGAGTTACAGGCTAGCGTGTGGGTAAAGTACTTTTCAGACTGTGGCTTAGAGCTGCTGCATGATGGAAGCATCCAGCTAAGCCTGACAGAATTACAGCACCAGATGTACAAACCTGTGACACAAAAAGCATAAAGGAAGTCTTAGAACCACTTTGTGGTACAGAGTATTTTGTGACTTGAGAATCCAACACCCAATGGAAATTCCAGACACCAGTTTTGGTGAAATTTGGAAATTCCAGTAGTTCAGGCACCAGCAACTGCTTTTAAAACCCATCCTGATGGCCCACGTGCTGCTAGCATGTACAGGAAACCTCTTGTCTGGGGACAGGTAAATCTTGCCCACGCTGAGATTCAGGAGGTAACATTTCAACGTGGAGTTCTACACTTGGTGAAGGAAGGTTTCTGTGGTCAGCTAGAGATCTCCAACATCAAAAATTCTAGGGGATTGATAAGAAAGCATAAGGCTAATGGGACTGAATTCAATCACCTCCCCATGTTACAGCTACACAGCACCCAAACACCCGTTTCAACAGGCAGGGATGCAATTTGCAGCAGCACTAAGCAGAGCTAAAGGGTTCTGGTAAACACTAATTTTCAGTGGACATGACATTTAGAATCATTCTCTCCACACTGAGAGAGCTGTGTGCATGTACCACTCTCTGCAACACTACCTCCGACTGTTTTGGAAGCACTGCTACACAGAGATGCTCCTGAAAATTAGATGCCTGTAGAACTCAATACAGAAGCCAGAGTGGACAAAAGCCAGCACTGAGCAGGCTGCTGTTGTCAGCTCCCTCCTATTTCAGGCTACTTCCCTGTCCAAACTGGAAAAGCAGATGCTGTGGCAAAGCTCCCTAGGCAGTGTTTCACAAAGCAAACCTCTCCCCGCAAAACAGATGTGGCAGGAGAGGTCCAAAGGTGGCACAAGGACCTTCACTGTGCAGCATCCTACCCCACCGAGGTGACCTGGTGAGGTCCTTCAGAAGGCAGCGCTTCTCTGCAGCATGCGAGGGACAGAAGGCATTATTTCAAGTTTACAGACAGGATTTAGGGAGAGTTACAGCCCAGATACGGGGAGAGGGGAGGAAGGACAGGGAACAGAGCAAAGTAAGGTGATGTTTAAGGAGAAGCAATCAGCTTGCATGCAAAGCTGCAAGAAAAACTGCTAGCAGCCACTGTTGCACAAAGCCAGGATTAGCATTCAAAGCTTGCAGTTAAGGGACTGAATTTAGAAAACCTTCCTTCCCCTCTAACCCACATTCACCTCTCATGGATTTCTCTTCCTCTGACATTTATATTTAAATGCTGTAAAAATACTGTTTAAAAAAGTCACTGCATTGAACGTAGGAAACCATTTGCTCAGGCAAATGACATTTCAGGAGCATCCTTTATAGTCACTCCATGGTCTAGACACATCACACAACACTGCACATCACTCGATTCCCTCCACACCCTCAAAGATAAACTTCAGGTGTTCCATGATGCAATTTTTCAGGTTACTAATCTTGTCAAGTCCCCAGTCTCCACTTCAATTCCCAGATATATTCTTAGTCTGTATTATTACACCTCATAGCAGCCTTCCGGTACCCGAAGGGGGCCTACAAGGATGCTGGGGAGGGACTCTTCATTAGGGACTGTAGTGTAGTAGGGTAACAGGTTAAAACTTAGACAGGGGAAGTTTAGATTGGATATAAGGAAGAAGTTCTACTGTTAGGGTGGTGAGGCACTGGAATGGGTTGCCCAGGGAAGTTGTGAATGCTCCACCCCTGGCAGTGCTCAAGGCCAGGTTGGACAGAGCCTTGGGTGACACGATTAGTGTGAGGTGTCCCTGCCCATGGCAGGGGGGTTGGAACTGTGTAATCTTGAGGTCCTTTCCAACCCTAACCTATGATTCTATGATTCTGTATTGTACACACACTTTATGCACACACAGAAGTCTGAATTCAACCGTTAAAAAGTCTGCTAAAAATCCTTCTCTTGTTAATGCTGAGGGTGTTTATACTATTCCATTCCCTTGCTAATGCTGCAGTAAACCTCATCGTAACACAGCAGTGTGCACTTGCAGCCCAGAAACCAACCGTATCCAACAACCAGATTCAACACGCAGTATCCCAGGTTGGAGGCTCTTTCCTTTAGCACCTGTAGGACAGCACACAGCAATAAAATACAGAGATGGATTTTTTTACAAGGACTTGTAGAGACAGGACAAGGCGGAATGGCTTTAACCTGCCAGAGGGGAGACTGAGATGAGCCCTTAGGCAGAAGCATGCAGTGAGGGCGCTGAGGCCGTGGCACAGGGTGCCCAGAGAAGCTGTGGCTGCCCCATCCCTGGCAGTGTTCAAGGCCAGGCTGGACATACACACGGAGCACTCCTGCACAGCACCATTACAAGATTTAAAGACGATTAAATGAAGCTTTAGGAACAACTGCAGGAAGTTCATCCCACTGCACCTGAACATACCCAGCCTGCTCCAGGATCTCCCATCCCTTCGTCCCAGACATACTATGCACTCCACAAGTGGAGCTTGGTTGTTGTGGGGCAGTGACAACAGGACCGGTGGCTATCGCTGCTCTGGCTTATACAGTAGAACTAAGTGTAAATAAAAACAATTCCCTGCTTTCTCATTTGATAATGAGAATCCACAGTTACAGCTGCACAAAACCAAAATCCAGGCAGTAATTACACACAATGTCATGTCAAGGGCTCAAGGAAATACTTAAACCAGATCTACTTCTATTGTTCATAAGTTAAAGAGCTTACATTTGTAAAAATACAGTGTTTTAAAGTAAGAAAGAGTCAAGCTTTTAACAAGGATTTGCATTCTCATCAGCAAGATGAGTCTCACAAGTGCTCTTCATGTGATTTTGCAGCTCCAAACACAGAAAATTAAGGGGATACAGAAGCTGAGTGGCAACAGAACTCAGGTGCAGTACATGAACTCACCTTTCTGATGGATCACCTGGAATTCAGACGCCTCATGCTAACCTACATCCCCATCAGCTGTTCTCTGCTTCACTCCTGTCACCAAGCACTGCAAACAAATGCTTTTACTGAGAAAGCCAATTCAGAGCTTCCCTTTTGGAGGGGAAAAGCCATGATTCCATAGCTGTTATTAAAATCACTGCTATTCATATTCCACACCACTGTTTCCTCTGGAAACTGCTGCAAAGCTGGAAGAGCCATTTTGACAGGACACCCATTTCTATTCACAAAGATAAATCCTTTATTTCGTAATAATTCTCTATACAGAGCTGAACAACGGGAGTCAGGGTAAGAAGTCTTCCAGCAGAATACTTACATGCTGGGATCTTAACCTGGCCTTTTTGGTTGTTCTTGAACATCATCTCACTGTACAACGTAATTTTTACATTTCCATTCTGAAAAGAAAACCTGAACATAACTTAAAACCTCAGTGGTAAGAGATGTAGGTAACGCCTAATCCATGTAACAGAACTGCTCAGGAAACGCAGGGATCATCTCCAAGTAGCATATTATTAACATCCATTTGTAAGGAGCGAAATGACCTCCCCAACAAGCAGTGATTCAGTTTTCTAACTTGGAGGTTAGAATTTCTTGTCTTGTGTCTTCAAATCTTGTGCCTAATGAGTTTTTACATGGGAATTCAATTCTCTAAGCTCATAGTTAATACATGAATAGACACTGCAAGAAGCAGCCCCTTTTTAACACGCATTTTTCACAAACATGTCTCTTTTAACAATAGAGAATGGGAAGGGGGGGAAGGAATAAATGGCTTTTTCTACTCTAAAATTGCAGACAGATTCTTATAATGGTAATAACAACTTGGATTTTGAAAACCAACCAGCTAAAAGTCCGGATTATGGAAAGCTGCTGTTTGGAAAAGTGATGCTTCAGCTTAGAGAAGAGCAGAATCACCCAGATCCACAGAGGCCATGAAAGAGCTCCCAAATCTGTGTTCTGTAAGAAACTGCACAGCTTCATAAAGAGATGCCACATCTACTGTCTTAAGAGTCAGAGCACTACAGCAGGAGGCTCTCCAAAGCCGTTACCCTCCCATTCAGTGTTTTAAACATCTGCTTCTAATGCTGATGCTCGAGTCATAGTATATGAAAACAAAAACTAAAACCAAAGAGAGCACAAGCTTTACCTTCTAGCAGACAAGAAGTCACCAAGTATTGCTCTGAGGTGCCACTCACAAGCCAAACGTTAACACTCACCATGTTGTCTAAAACCTGCAAAGTCCATCCCCAGTGATGAAATGCACCAGCTCTCAGCTGAGAACTTCCCTTCACAATCAAATTTAGCATTAAAACGGCTTTGGGATGCAGACACCAAGAACACCAGCTTCTGTGCTCTCTGCTGGCAATTACTAGGATGTCCAAGCCCTACAACATGGAAACCTGATCATTGAGGGAAAACCCCAGCACTTCTCCATCTTTCAGACCACTGACATTCCTCATACTGGTGTCAAAGGAAAGTAAGAATTGCTAGGATTGCAATATTACAATTTACAGCCTTTGCACATTATCTGCTGCACCCAACAGTGGACAAATACTCTATTCCACAAACTGGCTCGTGGGGGTGGGCAGCGACAACACATGGTTTGGTTTTTTATTATCCACAACATAGGAAAGGGAGAGACTTCCTAAACAAAGACTTTTTAACAAACCTTTGCTAACCATTTCTAGCAGTTCAGATAACTGCAGCTTTACAGGCAACCTTAGCGCTGTCAGGAACTAAAAAAGGAGACAATTAGTGGAAAGAAAAGGAAGATTGTAAGCTCGAATCCTGAACTGCCGCTGCATGAACAAGGATTCGCTTTGCTTCTGCACTCCAAGGACGAACGAAAATAAGCCCTTGCATTCCATATACTTTTAAGATCATTTGTAACCGGAGACTCACTTTTTTCACCCATCATTTTACCAAAGTGAGTAACTAGCAGAAAATGTAGCAAAGGTTTCAGTCCCACTAAGGTACTGTTCCCATCTTTAGTTGCAGTGTGAGGGTGTAACACAAGGAAAATAAACACTATTTGCGACTATGTTTCCAGAAGCATCAGATTCAGTGCTTTGCTGGCGCCCCCACTGAGAAATCCTGCAGCTGATCTACAAGCCTAACTGTCTATCAGTGTAATCATACTGGTGTAATTCCCCAGGGAAAAAAGTTATTTTTCAACATAGGGAAATAGCTTTATTTTTAAATTCAACATGAAGAATTACACCAGAATAACCAGTGACAAATGGGGAATTTCCCTGAAGAGCTAAGGCCTAAAAATACAGCCTGTCTTGGTGGGTTGAAGTTGCTCTTGGCTGGATCTCAGGTGCCCCTCAAACCTCTCCATCAGTGCCCTCCTCAGCTGGACATGGGAGAGAAAATATAACAAAAGGCTCCTGGGTTGAGATCAGGACAGGGAGATCACTCACCCGTTACTGTCATGGCAAACTGGACTCTGTTTTGGGAAATCAGTTTAATTTATTGCCAATTAGAGTAGGATAATAAGAAATAAACACATCTTAAAACACCTTTTCCCCACCCCTCCCTGCCTCCAGGGCTCCACCTCACTCCCAGTTTCTCTACCTCCTCCTTGAGTGACACAGGGGGACAGGGAATAGTTTAGGTCAGTTCATCCATCACATGTCGTCTCTGCTGCTCCTTCCTCCTCACACTCTTCCCTGGCTCCAGCATGGGGTCTTTCCCATGGGATACAGTTCAGGAACTTCTCCAATGCGAGTCCTTCTCACAAGCTGCAGTTCTTCGCGAGCTGCTCCAGTGTGGGTCCCCTCCACGGGGTGCATCCTTCAGAATCAAATGTCTCCAGTGCGAATCCCCCATGGGGTCACAAGTCCTGCAGCAAACCTGCTCCAGCACAGACTTCCCATGGGGTCACAGCCTCCTTCAGGCATCCTCCTGCTCCAGCTTGGGGTCCTCCATGGGCTGCAGGGGGATATCTGCTCCACTGTGCACCTCCATGGGCTGCAGGGACACAGCCTGCCTCACCACGGGCTGCACCACAGGCTGCAGGGGAATCACTGCTCTGGCGCCTGGAGCACCTCCTGCACTGACCTCGAGGTCTGCAGGGCTCTTTCACAGTCTCACTCCTCTCTTCTGCCTGCTGCTGCTGTTGCACAAGTGTTCCCCCCCCGCCTTCCTAAATATGTTACCCCAGAGGTGCTACCACTGTTCCCGATGGGCTCAGCCATGGCCAGCGAGTCCACCTTGGAGCCATCTGGCACTGGCTCCCTCAGAAAAGGGGAAGCTTTTGGCAGCTTCTCATAGAAGCCACCCCTATAGGCCCCTGGCTACCAAAACCTTGCCACACAAACCCAATACACCTGCAGTGTCCTGCAAATCACAAAGACTGAGGTTTCTTGCCACTGAAGAGGTTTTGACTATTGACATGAGGAGATTATTATAGCAATGCTTTTACCATTATCCAGGTCATTTTCTCATACATTAATGACATGATAGAAATTTATGGAAGTCTTTATTGAATCTTAATTGCGCCCCAGGACCACGACTGAAATAGAAAAGGGACTGAATTCTGCTTTGACTACTACAGCAGATGCTGAGGGTACAGAATCTTTGATTTCAGACTCTTTAACTTAAGGGCAGCTTCCAATTCTTCATATTCACATACAACATGGTGGTGGCTTTCTGTGAAGTCACACAATATTCTGTCAATCGCAGATTCTTGACAGCTCTGTTAGTTCTCTTTTAGAGTAATCCCAATGCATGGTCTGATAGCCCAGTATGAAAGGTGTTTTTGAAGGGTGAGATGGCCAATTCCAGTATTTATTGCTACTAGAAGCCTCTGATATTTTGTGGGGCTTTTCTTATTCTTTACAAGGAAGAACATTTTAAACCAAAATACCACTGAAGAATTTATATTGCATTTTCCTCTCTAGCAAATGAGTTCAAATTAGCTCAATTAAAATTGTGACATTTATCAACCATTAATGATGAGAAATAATGTAAATTGAGGACAAATCTGTTTACAGTTTAATAATCCACCTCAAGCACCTGCCAGGAGAGTTTACCAATGCCTAAAACCTGCCATAAATTACACTCTTAGTTGAGAAGTCTGAAGTTTTTGAAGCAGCTCACCTCCTGCATATGCCACTGAATATCAGAGATTCCTAAAGATGAAAAAATAGAACTCTTTTGGTTGAAATTATGTCCCTCTGAGAAACTGTAAAAACCCAAAAACTGTAAAACCCAGGGAGTTTTTGAATGATGACTTAAAAACAAGAGCTTCACTGTCATCTTGTGCATCCTTAACCTCTTAGACAAGATTAAGCCGAGATCATACTTAGCATGAACAGTTTCCACAGCCTTTCACACTATTGGTGATCTCTTCCTCTAGTTTCTTCCTTTCCTCCTCTTTGGACATACGATTATTCCTCTCTTCCCAGTTCGGATGGTTATGACTATTGAGTACTTTGCTGCTCTGTGTGTGCCACATTTCATGGTAGAGATTGTTAGGACTTGCAAGGAGGTCTGTGTGTCTACCACGTTCCACAACTTTACCCTGTAAAAGAAGAGGAGTAAGTCAGCAATCAATATTAACAGATCCTTAGGAATGTAAATGCTTGTCACCCAAACCAAACGTATTTGTCTTTGCTCGATAACAAATACACACAAAGAAGCTAAAAGAGCACACAGGGAGGGATTTGTACTAGATAAGAAAAACACATTTAAAATCAAATCCTAAAAACCATTAGTGTAAATTGTGGTTTTAGATGGGTGCTCAGTAACTGGTGTCACTGCCATTATGAAAATTGAGTGAGCAGCTCGGTTCATCTGTGCTGTTCTCAAGAGCAAAGATGATGTATTGCCTATCACTGTGGAGATGGGAAGGAAGAGTTGGGGAGGAGAACTCAAATCCTACAGACAGCAAAACACCACCACTCTTCAAAAAAACAGACTCATCTTTTTACTGCGAGATACACATTTTACATTCAGCAACCTCAAATGAAAACAATGCACTCCTTCTCCAGCTATTATTCCTTTTGGGAAAAGACAGCATTATACAGACAGCTACATGGATTTTATATTAGAACTAAATTCGGATCTACAATTAAATCTACCTCCTTGTGACAGCTGCTGATGAACACGCTGGGGAAAAAAACTGGGTCTTGTCACTTCTATTCCTAGTCGTGCTGGTGGAATCTGAGCAAGCACACACTTGACCAGCCTAACTGCAAAATGTATTTTAAACTTTCAGTGGTTAATTTCCAGAGTTCACTGTAGTAGAGTCTAGGCTTTGAATTATGGCCTCTTTTTTCGTCAATGAGTCTTGAACAATCATACAAAAGACCATTAATACAATGTTTACTCACTCAAGAATTATCCTGATTTTACCTAGGCAAAAGGTGCTGAAATGATGATGCCCTATTCCCATTGCTAAGGAAAACCAGCCACAATCATCTTGTCTCATCTCCACTGCTGAGCCTCATTTATCTGGTTGTTAACGCAGCACTCATCAATCAAGCTGGGATGACAAGAGGCAACCTTCTGCTGAGAAGATGCCACCTGAAGCAGTCGGGCACCGCAAGCGATGCACCACGCTGCCTGACTCGTTCACAATCTTCATTATACTGACACCAGTCATGAAAGTGAGCACCCTAACTGGTTTACAGTTTGAGGTTGTGCTTTTATTTTTAATGTAACAGCTACACTCTAACACAAAACACACTCGCAGTAAGCTGTGAAAACTTGCCTCGAAAACAAAAAGCCGCAGATTGCCTCGTAACATGTTAAAAAACACTTGCAAGATGCTTTAACGTGCAGTTCCATAAAGGATACACCTTAGGAAACGTGATCCAAACGAAAGAAAACTCCACAGAGCACTACAAGTGAATTATTCTTTGAGAGTCATAGGAAGCTGAGATTTGTATGGCAAAGATAGTCATGAATGCCACCATTTCATAAGGCTTTGTTCCAATTCCCCATGAAATCATTTAATGTAGTGTAGGAATAATTTATTTTCTTTTAGAGATGCATATTTTAGTCACTAAATACACCTATGATCACAAGCATATAAATAGCACCTGAAAAAAGTGAATGCAGAGATATATTTAACATCCATTACCAGCAGATTAGAGCGCTGTATTTTCAGCATTATCAGTTAAAAGAGTAACTATGAAGTTAGAATAAAGACATGTGTTTATTTTAAATCTATAGCCAGATATGGGTAAGAGAACAAAACGGATTTAGGACAAGCTGACTATGAGATAACAGCTGCACAGTGATATTAGTAAATCAAATGTTGAAACTTTTTGTTTTCCTTACAAGAGGAGCATACAGAGAGGGAATAACCACACTTTTCTACAGGTACAATAGAGAATGATGATCAGATTTATAACATCATTAGACTGAACAACAGTTTTATCTGCATGGAAACAGAACATGCAGTCCTCTCTCCTTCCACTGAAAGAAAAAAAAATGGATGTATGTGAAAAATAGACACTCAATGAGTCCTGAGAATAAAGTGTAAATTGGGGGAACACATCAGGAAACCTAATCTGAGAGAAGCATGTAATAAATGAGATTTAAAATATATGCAACATTAAGCCAGTCCCAGAACATCAAGTGGAATTTGTAATCATCCATCCAAAGAACATGTAATTAAACGAACTATGCAAATGAAGTGAAAATAAAACATACAAGAATCACACATCCAACGGATAAACTTTGATTGTAAATACACAAAAAGCAAAGCTTGGGCTTTTAGAATTCTTCGATTTGGTTCATTCCCAAAGAACGAACTTTGTGGCTTGGTGGGAGTATAATGTTTCTAAATGGACACACAGACTCCCTAAACCAAACACTGCCGTTATGTGAAGACAACAGATCCCAGGGTGATCACCTCACCTGATCCAGCACAATGATTTCATCTGCATCAACTACTGTTGACAACCTGTGAGCGATGAAAACTGATGTTCGGTGCTTCACCATGTCCCTCATGGCACTGAGAATATTCTGCAAGATTCAAAGAGAGACAAACTCTGACACACTCCTGGGTGGGAAACAAAACCTTGTCTGGAAATACACAAGTTGCTGTAAGTAAGGTTTGAGAAACATCTCCAGTGCTGCTGCAGCTTCACAGTAAGAAACAGCTACAAGTACCTACAAGAGAGTCCCAAGCACGAACTATCTGTGGCTCTGAGTATTTGCAGAAAACCACACATATCCCAAGGGACAAAGGAAGAGAAGTGTTACGTGACTGCAGGAAAAACTTCCCTATGCAGCTATGCTCAAAAGCAACACAAACAGCAGTAAAAGCACGTGACAATTACAAATAATAATACTTTCAAATCGATGAAAGTTAAAGAAAAAAAACCCCTCTCAATATCATGTCAATATGGAGCATGTAGTTAAAGCAATCCTGAGAATTACCTATCCGCAGCCTCCACCTTCCTCAACTGCATTCAGGTGCAAGCAGCACTAGTTGGGAATTTGTGCCCTCACTACAATAACTGTCCATTCTTCCTGAAAAACACTTGCCTTTGTCTGAAAACATTCCTGTTACCAGACATACTTCTGTGGGAAGGACTCGTTTCATTTGCTGTCTTTAAAGCTCAGTTCTGCTGTGAAAGTTTCAGCTTTGCTTGTGATTCTTGCAATACATACAGCAAAACAAAAGAAGGAAGAATCCCAGCAGCTTTCTGTAGGACTGTGTTATGAACATTTCTGGCCCAATGAGGAAGCTCTACTATGTCTGAGCGCTGCACTATACAGATGTATGGTGTGTACCCTGATTGTTTTCTATCTGGAAAAGGAAGGTAATTTAGTGATTACAGGTCAATAAATTTGCTCAATAATCTGCATAAGTGAACACAAACATAGCTCTAGCTCTAGTTTTTGATGACATTAGTTTGTGAAATTGCTGCTGGTGCTGAGAGCTTTTGTGCTTAAGCAGAGATGTATTTATGAAGCCTGATGCAGTTACTGCGGTCGTGTCACGACATCTGTGTCACAACACTCTGCTGTTTCACAGCCCTTCCTGTGAAAGGAATACAAATTAATAACAGCACTGCAGATCCCACCTACCTGATTTACAGCTCGGAAAGATGCTGCACAACAAACAAGAGGCTTTCTGCTCTGCATTATGTCATGATTATTTGTAAGACATTTTTAATGACTGCTAGATGTCACCTAAACATCCAGCAGTGGACTGGAGAGCTTCACACTTCACGGCCACCTGAAGTACTCGCAGCAGCTTCAAGAGATAATTGTTTAAGAGTGACTGGGACCTCCAGAAAGTACAGCAGAAAATATACCCAGGGTTGATATTCTTCATTATGTCTAAAGATAGACAGACTCAGTGTCTCTGCTCCAGCCTTTAGGAAACCGGCTTAGACACAGAATCTCTTAATAATAATACCAGGAAAACACATGATAGCAATGTGGCAAAAAGAGATTTCTTTCTGGGAGGAAAGGAACAAGGAAAAAGAATCAGAATCAACCATCATTATACCACTTAAGTTTTGTATTTTTATATCCCCATTTACCTCTTCTGTAATTGAATCTAAAGATGATGTGGCTTCATCATAGAGAAGAATAAATGGCTCCTTTAACATTGCTCGAGCAATTGCAACTCTTTGCTTTTCTCCTCCTGAATGGGGGGAAAAGGGAGAAAAAGATAAAGTTACAACCATGATATTCTCAATTCATCAGCAGACAGGACTGGTTTTAGGGGTGGCTCTTTTTTTTTTTTAAATATACATCATAGTTGCTACTGACAAAGGTCTCTACATGTTACATGAATTATCAGACAAGTTCCTGCTCTCTGGTAAATCCAAAGTGACTCAAGATTGCTTATCCTTTTAGAGATCCTTTCAGGTCCCTCCTTGAAATTCATCTAACTTTTCACTCCATAATGGCCCAGATTCAAAGCATCCCCAACAGCTTTAATCAGCAAACTTAATCAAAGAACACAATTAAAATGGTGCTGAAACCTGCCTTCATTATGCCTGTTGGTTTCTGATGTGACCAAGTTTCAGACTAGTTTCCTCCCTTCACAATTCTCACAGCCAACATCTACTCAAGAATAACTTAGGACAACTTTTACAGTCAGGAAAATGTGCATTTGAGAACTAAAACCTGCTAACCATTTGGTATGCAATGCAAACATTTCACATTGGTGCTCTTGTCCTCCGTTGTTTTATTCAAGACTTCAAAACATTCCATTTAATACCATTACATTCTTGTTAATGTTCCATTCCTATCAGGAGAGAACATGCTTTAATAAACCATTTAAAAGGCTGATGATAATGCTGCAGTTCAAATTTTAAACTGTCTTTGGCAGAACACAGTAGCAATTAGAATTGTACAATTTACTCAGTCTATTTTAATATATTCTCCCTTTCTCGCCTTTAAAGCATGTTCAAAACTCAGTTTGACAATACCCATGTTTGAAAGACATATTACAGTAACTAAATCCAAGGTCTTTCCTTGTATTTGTAGCATATTGATTTGTTTCATGTTCTTCCCCACTCATATTCAGGACAGCAGCATGTTAACCCTTCCATTTACACAGTCAGGGGCTGGGGCTGTTACAGCTTTGTATTACAAAGCACTGAAATGGATTCTACTTGAAAAGGACAAAACAACTTGGATTTCATTATTTACTCTTGATTAAGCAGTCACTGAAACCAGTAAGAACTGCACTAAATGCTCACTTCACCATTTAAATTGGTAGAGTTCTCGCTGCAACTAAGGCTTCTTTATGCCTATTTTTGTACCACACAAGCAAGAGAAACCACACTAGGGGACGGAAACTGAGATACTGAGCCTGTTATCCATGCTGCTGTACTGCCATGAGAGAGTCTTGTTTGCATTAAGGTTCTTGCCAACTATAAAAACAAATCCAGCACTTTTAAAGTATCAAGACAGCACTTCTAACATAGTTTCACAATGCCAACCCTCACAGAGGTAAACTGTTAATTTATTGGAGGAAAGGAATCCATAACATACCAAATTCTTGCATACAGGAAGAATCCAATTTACTTAAGACACTCACTTGCTGCACCCAACAGATTTATCTACTCACAGAACCAGGAGCCCAGATTAAGACTGCAGCCTTTATTGGCCCTACACATCACCACCACTGTTAACACATCCAAGAACCACATTAACTGCAACTGTGCCTTTCACAGACACCCATGGTAGTGGTCCCCAAAACCTTTTTTCCCCCCCCCCCACACATGTAAAATGCCTGGATTTTAAAGAGGGCCACTTAAATTCACAGAGCTCTCCATCCACCTACTTCTCCCACAAAATATTATCTAAAATAGACAAAGAGAATCAGGAATTCAACTTTTTCTTAGAGGAGAGGTACAAGAAGCCTCACCCAACTTAAATCTTAAACAGATTCAGAAATTAATCTAATCTACACTTTAGAACAATTTAGGAAGCCATTCCATTATTCAGATTCCAAGTAACAGATGCTATATTTTTACAGAGCTACTGAAGGAACTCAGAAATATGCCTCTGACATTTCCAACCCATGAAATAACCAAGCCACTTCTGGCCATTACAACTCTCTTATCAATGAAAATACTGATTTAACAAATGCACATGGGATACAGTGGACACACTGGCTCTGCATCTCAACCCAAAGCCACACACTGGCACCCGCAAGCAGGAGCAGAGAATCAAACTCCCTAAGAGCTGAGTACACAGCTGCATTTAAGATCAAGTCAGGAATGAGCAGACGTTTCGGAGAGCATTAGCTCCTGATTCCTGTCCCCTACCTGTAAACATCACTGAAGCTTGTTTATTACTATTGTTTGCCAATACTCGTATAATTTGTTGAAAATAGGGAACTGAAGCTGCTACTTCAATGGCAGACGCCCACTCTGAGCTCTTTTTTTATCACCTCACAAATCCAGCGCCTTTCTCCTGAGAAAGATTTTACAGACTCTTTTTGTTTAAATAAAAAAGATGAAAAGAACACACTTCACTTTCCAAATGCTACTTCTGTTAAAGCACTGTTAGACTGGTGCTTATGACCATCACAGTGGTAGCACAAACCCAAGGATGGAGTAAAGGCATACCCCAGTTTCAGTAAAGGGCTTGTTCAAGGTCAGAAGGAAACACCAACATGCCTGAACACACCTCTCCAGATTCAGAATTGGACATAGAACCATGGAATGATTTAGATTGGAAAGGACCTTTAAGATCGAGTCCAACCATCAACCCAGCGCTGCCAAGTCCACCACTAAACCACGTCCTCAAGTGCCACATCTACATGTGTTTTAAATACCTCCAAAGACAGTGTCTCCACCACTCCTCTGGGCAGCCTGTTCCAATGCTTGATAAGCCTTTTAGTGAAGAAATTTTTCCTAAAATCAAATCTAAACCTCAACATAAGACTAAGGCTTTCAGTAACCTGGTCTAGTGAAAGATGCCTCCGCTAACAGCGGGAAGGTTGGTCTAAATGATCTTTACAAGATCCCCTCCAACCCAAATCATTCTGTGCTTCTATATAAATGCCAAAACATTTCAAACCTATTGTTAGTCAAATCCTCTTTCTAGAAATTACTAGTCTGGGGAGACAGGCAGCACAAGAGAAATCTTTCATCATTATCACAGTTCTCTGCAGTTCTGCCAGTACCTATCTTGAATCTTCTACTCACCCAGATTTGTGCTTCGCATATTTTATCTCCCTTTCAACCCTCTCTGTATTCCCCTTTTGCAAATGTGCATGCTTTCCCCTTCACATACATTCTGGGTGCAGAATGTGACCTCTGATCCTCTGTTTCAAAGAGACCAGGACTTACGACTTCAGCACCTTCGCAGCAAGAAACACCACACACGGCTTGCTCCCTGCAACAGGCAGCATTTCTGCCTGAACACGCTGCATTCCTGTGCCTCTGGACCCCCACCAGCCCCACATGCCCTGAAGAGCCACACACCTCAGCACCATTCTGAAGCAACCTCAGTACCCTGAAGTTTCCAGACTCACTGAGGTTAAGTTTCTCTCTCCTGTAGGGCCATAGCTCATTCCCAGTGTTATAGAGCAGTCTGCCCTCCACTGCTCCACCCTTCATGCAAACAAAAATAACTGGACTGTTCTTTGGTCTATCAATAAATGGTGTCTTGTGCACAGAGTCAGAGTGGAAGAACATTACGCTCTGCCACGCATATTTAGAGTTCGCCAGACAGTAAGGCCTTGTATTCAGGAGTGTAGAAAGCCACTGCAGAGCTGTAGTTCAAACTGCACATGTACTGCTGTTTCTCCTGCTACTCTGCATACTCAGTATTATGCTACCTACCTTGTCAAAATTCACTTGCCCAAACACCTTTAAGACTGTATTAGAAAAAGATACCAAACCTGTATCAAAAGCTGTGCCCCACCGCTGCACATATGGGCTAGCAATTTTAAGTAAAACTGTAACACGCTTTGCTTTTTCAAAACAAGACAACAGGAGATGGCTTATCGCATCCTACATGCAAAGCACACATACACAAAGTTCCCAATTCTAGTCACATGCATTCCACTACCCAAGCAGCTTACAAGAAAGATCATTTTTACTTAGAGGTATGCTCACACATCAACTCATTTAATGCTACCTCTTGAAAATACACTCCTTTAAATATCTTGTAGACTACAGTTGGCTTAAACTACAAATCTCTGCATTAGTATTTAGCCTTGCAACTACGTTATAATGTAAGTAAGCAAGTCTGGTTGTCACTTAGTGACATGGCTTAGTGGTGGACTTGGCAGTCCTGGGGTAATGGTTGGACTTGATCTTAAAGGCCTTTCCCAACCTGATTCTATGATTCCATGACTGAGGAGTAAAATATGGATTGAACTTGGAGGTATTTGCAAAAGGGATACACAGACCTTGTGCACTGAAGAACATACCTGAGAGCTTGAGTCCTCGTTCCCCAACCTGAGTGTTGTAACCATTTGGCATTCGAAGAATTGCATCGTGGATTCCTGCCAGCTTTGCTGCTGCATACACTTCTTCTGGTGTTGCACCGATATTGCCATAGAGCAAATTGTAGTAGATAGTATTATGGAAGAGAACAGCATCCTACACATATGGAAAGGATATTTTAAACAAGAAACCATGGACAATAGGTTAAAAACTATCCCCAATCCATGAAAGAAAACAATACAGAATAGCTCAGATTTCTGCAAAAAGCGTGAAGGTGAAAGTATTTGGGGAAATTTCTTTTCCCAATATTGGGATTAATACATTTTGTGTCCTAAATATATCCATGTTCTGCATGATTTTACCACTTTGCTAACTCATTATAGATGGTAATCTACTATAAAGCTAGATCTCTTAAAGCTGGAGGCAGTTTCTCATGAAGCATGATGACTTTCAAAGGAACTAGACATTACCACTGCATTAGACTTGGTCTTCATTGAACCACAGTGTCAGGATACTGATATTTACTACTTCAATGGACTATCTGGGGAGAATGACCCATGGTATACCTGAGGTACGACTCCTATTGCCTTTCTGAGACTTTCCAAACTGATATCTTGTATGTTCTGTCCAGCAACATAAATATTTCCTTTCTGAGGTTCATAGAAACGAAACAATAATCTCACGATTGTGCTTTTCCTGAAATTCAAAAGAATTGAAGCTTACGTTACACTCCTAGTTTGTCATTTACTATCTCCAATCAGAACTGATGTCACAAACATGATAAAAAGCAAAACACAAGAAGAAACACATTGAAAAACAAAATGCTGCACTGATTGGCATATTTAGTCCATTTACCCACCCTGACCCACTACCTCCTACAATGGCCACTTTCTTTCCTGCAGGGACTTCAAAAGACACTCCAGCAAGGACTTTCTGTCCCTCAAGGTATTCAAAATGCACATTATCAAAGGTGATGGCAGCAGTCTGTGGTGTGATCTGCAGGGGTGGAGCCAGCTCTTTGTCCTATGAAAAGAAGAGTGCCACTTTATATGCTGCCCAGAAAGCATCTCAAGCAGTTCAACAAGCCGAACAGTCCATTTCCTAGCTCAGGAGAAAGCCAAACAGACACTCCAGCTTGGATAGGCTGAAAATAATTACAATCCACCACATGAGTGCAACGGATTTGTTCCTCCTTTGCCCCAAAGGAGGTAAAAATTTCTGCTTAAACGCTCTGCTTCGTAACTTCTTTTGCAGTAATAAACTCAGCATCATTAATTATAAATAAATCATCTAGCACCAGGCATGAATACTTAGATAAAAGAGATCTCAATGCAAACACAGCTTTTGTGAAGCAACTTTTGCTGTCACTAAAGGCTCTGCAAGAAAAAAGCAGCTGCTATTGCACTAACAGCACTTAAAGAGGAGGCAGAGCAGCATCCTTACACAACAGCTTGAATAGAAATTAAATCTGGAAAGTAAGAAGCAGCATGAAATGATGGCATTGCCAGAAAACAGCCCTATTAAATACCCAGATACTTTAGGAAAATAAGCTACTACTTACTTTAATTTTGGTATCTACACTGAGAAGTGTAAACAAGGTATTCATATCTATAAGTGCTTGTCTTGTCTCTCTGTATACTGTTCCCAGGAAGTTTAGGGGAAGAGAAAGCTGGAACAGCAATCCATTCACCATTACTAGATCTCCAACAGAAAGGCTGCCTTAAGACAAAACGGATGTGAGAGAATAAGGAGACTTAAAGGGTTGTCTTGTTAGGAAGCACCAAAAGATTAAAAAAAAATATATAATCAAGTCAATCAAGTCTGGTTTCTTTTATCCCATTTCTAAACTCAGATGTTTAAATAGCAAACCAAATGCATTCCCAGAAGATCAGATTTTACACAGAAAGGTGCCCCAAATGATGGGCAATGCTTGTGTGGATTTCCCTTAAAAGATGTAATAGCATCTCGAAAATTAGACAGGCAGCATAGCAGGAAATTCATGGAAAACATCAGATTGGAAAGTTGTCAATTCCACAGAGAAACATAAAGGGGCCTAAATAAGTGAGAATGGGAGGAACTGCTACATGACAGCAAGAACGGGGGAAGAATCTGAAGTACAATTACAGACAAATCCAAATGACAGAATTTGTCATGATCAAGAGAGGACCTGCATACTACACACAACAGAGCTGCTAAAACATATAGTGAGAACCTCCAGGCAGCTTCAAATCAAATACACTGATGAAAGGAAAACTCAGGATGACACACTGGCTAAAGGTAAGTGCAGGGTCAGTTCAGCTGAAACAGGTCCTGAAAGATAATTTAAAGCTGTATTTCCACCATCCTGCTTGAAGGCTATTCTAAATTTTATTAAGGACAGCCATAAACTGCACCTACTGACTTATCCATTCATGGCGTAACTCTTCCCTGTCCTGGCGTCTCTTGAAAGACCAAAGCAGATGCAAGAAAGGCAACATGATATAAAGGTCTACCCTTCAAACAGATCTCAATGCCAACAGTGTTCAAAGCATCATTATTTTTATTCTAAAATCACCTTGCTTTAGCTGAGCCTTACCCCAATGCTGCATTCATCTACTGGATTTGAAGCTTGCACTGTCTTGCTAAACGAGCAGGCTTTACTTCAGGCAGTAAATTAGATAAGTACATATGCAACACTAACATACAGAAGCAATTGTTTTAAGAATGTGACCTTATTATTCTAAGGAAAGTGAAGGACACCAGTAATAAAACTACTGGAGACAAAGCACATGGGTATATGCATTACACACTGGGAAAAGTTCTGATTCTTGCCAACATGGGAAAGAAGGAGGGTAAAAAGAAAGGATCTTTATAGAAGCTCCACAGCAGCATTGGTATTTACACAAGTGTCTTTCAGAACCCTTCAACAGAAACTTCCCAAAGTTTTATGACAAGCAGCAGAAATACCCCAAACTCTCAAGCAAAACCTCTCAAAATGAACTATCACATCAACCATATGTTAATTAACACCTCTATCATGAATGAATTAAAGGTAAAAGAGAGTCATTTTTAGCTTACAGACAGATGAGTTACCTGCAACAATGCCCTGGCTGGCAAGCACCATGATGGCCGTCAAGCCAATGCTAAATATAGCACTCTGTCCAAAGTTGAGGAGAGCCAAAGTGGAGGTAGTCTTCAAGGAGGCATTCTCATATCTCATCAAGAACTCATCATACCGTTGGGCTTCGTATTTTTCATTATTGAAATACTATGATATATACAAAAATAACAACTGTGACAGTCTCAAGCATACCAGACTGTATACTTAGTTATACACTTTAGCATAAACATACTACATGCACAGATACACACACAACCCCTCTTCAAGACTTCTAATAGCTAAAGAGAAAAAGAGATAGCAGATTAGTGTGTGAAAACAAAACACATGAGCAAACCCCAGCACTTTCTGCACTGGGAAAGCAGACATTAGAGATCCCTACCATACTCATTCTGATAACACTGGGCGTCTGTCTTGCAGAACTTCTACCTTATTAATGTCAAAGCCAAACACCACCTATGCCATTAGATACTAAAAAGAAGAGCAAGTTACTGCCTCTGTGCTAGAATATCCTTGTTACTTTGTCTAGAACAGTACTTCTCACACAAAAGCTACTTCTGAGTCCTTCTTCACAGTTGATGCCACTGTTTATCATCCCAGTTCTAGCTCTCCAATTAAAAGTAGCATAAAATAAGCATTACCCAGGACAACTTCAAAGCGGCCCATGGGATTTTTTAACAGTAGCAGTACAAGAACTCATAGACCTGCTCTTTAATGTGAACATTGCAATGGAGTGCTGCAAACCACAGCAGGTAATGAAAACAGTACACAGGCTTTTGAGAAGACAGTACGCTGCAGGCCGACATTCAGAAGACAACTTTGTACAGGAAGACTCTTGGTCAAGGTGATTCAGTAATGAAAGAAACTTCTCACTCTTACTAGCAAATAGGTTTTTCCAAGCCCCACCAATGACTTTCATGCTACCCCGTCAATATCATGTAGTGCTCTTCCAATGAACAATGTTTTTCAAAATATGCTATTGCTCCCAGTATGCAGCCCTACAAAAGATGACTCTTATGGCTCACTTTCCTTAGGCTGACAGAAGAAAGCCAAAGGGCCTGGCAGTAAAGACTGGTCTTACCTTCACAGTCTCATAATTCAGTAGCGAGTCAATCGCAGCGTTACCGGCATCATTATCTGCTTTGTTCATTTCTATTCGAAACTTAGTCCTGCAAAATGAAGGCTTAATATAGTGAAGAGTTCGGGCTGAGGCAACACCAAGTACCCTGATGAATCTGAGGGCAGGCCTTACCTCCACTGAGTAATCCCTATCGTGAATGCTGCATAGGCTCCTAGTGTCCCCAGAGTCACTAAAGCAAACTCTGCACCACATTTGTAATACTGGAATAAGTAAAAGAAACAAACAAGAAGTTATATTCATTTTCAAAACTTCACTGTTGTATCAAAACTCTAACAGCTTAACACAAGACAAGGACTCTGAAGGTCCCTCCTAACACACTCCCTGCTCTGGACAGCTTAAAATAAATACAGGTATAAACTCAAAAGGAAAGCAGCAAGGAGAAGGGTACAGATAAAAAGGCTGGAGGAGATAACCAAGAGCTAACATGTTATGACACTTGAAAGTTATTTTTGCCATTATAAAACATAAATGTTTCTGATGCTTGCGTTGTTATCACAAATAAGTATTTGTTTCCATGCTTTTTGGGTGGATTTTGAAAGCAAGCTGAAGACTGGGAAAGAAGTAAATGGCCTTGCAAACCAACTGATGAAGCGTTTTCTCTGCTTCAGGGTCCATTGGGAGAGAAAAGCCATAAGAAGAATTAAAGCACCATCGCAGGCTGGCTCACAGCCAGCTTGAGTTGTAACTTCCAAAGGTTATAAAATTAAACCCAATACCAACAAGGGTTTTAACTCATCTTTTACATTCAAATTTGATTAAGTCCTTCTAAAAAGAACGGGGATAAACAAAACAAGATTCTTGCTTTTAATTTAGTCTAAGCTACATATTTATATTTTAGCCTGCAAATACCCAAAGATCCTGATTTCAAAGACAGTAAGTGCAATTTACAAAAGAAAAGGTTAAAATTGAGCTTAAAACCTGCAAGAAGCAGCCTATTTTCCAAAAGAAAATTTTCACTTTTAAGTTCTGGATAAGGGAAGAGCAGTATTCAGAAGAGAGCCAATAATCACTCCCTCATCTAGCCTCAACACGCTAAGGCACAGCATTCTGCAGGAAGATAAGCAGAGAAAGTTGGGGCTGTTCAGCCTGAAGAAGAGAAGGCTGAGTGGAGACCTCAGAGCAGCCTTCCAGTATCTGAAGGGGGGCTATAGGGATGCTGGGGAGGGACTCTTCATTTGGGACTGTAGTGACAGGACAAGGGGTAATGGGTTCAAACTTAAACAGGGGAAGTTTAGATTGAATATAAGGAAGAAATTTGTTACTGTGAGGGTGGTGAGGCACTGGAATGGGTTGCCCAAGGAAGTTGTGAATACTCCATCCCTGGCAGCGTTCAAGGCCAGGTTGAAGAGAGCCTTGGGTGACATGGTTTAGTGTGAGGTGTCCCTGCCCATGGCAAGGGGGTTGGAACTGGATGATCTTAAGGTCCTTTCCAACCCCAACTATTCTATGATTCCTGGACAATTATTTCTGCTTCCTCAGATTTAAAGTAACCAGTATTTGAAAATTAGGATTGCTCTCCTTTACAGCAGTTGCTTTCACAACCACCTTGTAAAAGCAATTGTTAATGCTCAGTAGGCTTTGGTAAAAGAAAACCAATGTATTACTCCTAAATGAGACAATTCCAAATCAGGAATAAACACACTTACCAGAATTCCACTGACTAGTGCCACTTCAAACATTGTAGGTCCCAGATTAAATACTAAAGCACTAAGAACAAAACTGATGCCTCTTGTTCCTCTGTCGATGGTTTTTGACAGAGCTCCGGTTTGCCTACTTAGATGGAAGGCCAAATCCAGGTTATGAAGGTGCAAAAACACATTCTTTGCTATCCTCCTGATTGAATTCTGAGCTACCTTCCCAAATACTGCATTTCTAGCTTCATTAAATAGCGCTGCTCCAGCTCTTGAGATACCATCTAAAAAAGATGAAAAGTTTATGAAATTAAAATAGTTATATTTCCAAGCTCCCTTCATGCATGAAATTACATTAAGCTCATTCCTTACATATTTTCAACATTTTTAGTTCAAAGGTAATTTATACTTAACTGGTCCAAACCTTTATGTTATTTTTCATTTATAAACCATTGCACAGATTTTGAATCAGCTTCTTTTGCAGCTGGTTATATGAAAGGGCAGGATTTATAATCAAGAATCATTTCTATAAGCATTATTTCATATTTTAATTAGAATACCAAAAGCAAGGTCACAGAACATTGGAAATGGACAGCAACACATGGAGTCACTATGAAATAACCATCCCAGGTGCTTAGCAGTGCATAGTCCAAAAGCTCTGCTGTCCCATTCCCTTAATGAAGAACGTTAACACTTATTAATGGATTTGGGAATACCACTTACAGCCAATGAGAACAGCAGTTGCCACAGTTGCCACTGTACTTGGTGCATCGCTGAGGTTGAGGATGTTGCCAGATACCTGGTTGAGGCTGTCTACTGCATACTTAAACATGAAGGGAACCAATATATTCATGGCCTAAAAGCATAAGAACACCAATTAGTCCATATGCATTAAAGCATCTATCTATGGAACATGGCTGTTTTTCTGAAATTGCTCTACTGTTATATTTAGTTCTTAACCACTTAGTGCAGGTGAGATGGCTCCTGATTTCAAGCACAATGCTCTCCTTTTAAGTCTTTACTCCTGGGACTGCGGGGTTAGTTTGTCTCTCTCATGGGTTCCTTTAAATATCAATTTTTATCCTAAAGAAATCGTACACTGCAAAGGCACTTGAACTGAGGCTGAGCACTCACTACAGCAATGGCAAGACTAGAAAGGAATCAAACAGCAGACACACACACCATGCTCCTAAATTACACTGCCATTACAGGTTGCTCTTGGCGATGCTGACAATATTCACTATGAAGAACAACTACTACTACTAAAGAAATAACTCACCCTCATATTGCTAACACTGGGTCAACCAAGATTATGTATTGAACTAAATACGTATTAATGGATGTATTAAACCAAAGCTCTAGTGAAGCCCAAGAAAAGAAGTTAACCTACCCTGTGACCAGTCCTTCTGACTGTTAATACTACTTTAATATTTCAATAATGCTTTCCATTTGCAACATCACTATAAATATTAACTTTATATTAACCCTAGCATTTAGCAGAGCAGCATGGACGACTTTCCATGCAGACCATATAGTCAACAAGACACTACAAACCACTTCAACATGAGCCTTCAAACAAAACACCCAAGTCCCAACTACAACCTGGACATGTCATACATCACTGGATGATTTTGAAGAGCACCAAACCCCAAATGCATCTCTTGTTAACAGTGAGGTATCGCCTACATGCAGAAAAACCAAGCTGGCTAGAGGTGTAAACAGACCAACTTCAGGACTTGCACAATTGCAGCATGAGAAAATACTAAAAACCTTCCAGAAAACACACAATTCTTAAGTCTTGTTAATGCTCCATTGGTAGATCCCTCATTTGTACCAACAAGAAACAAAATTAACATCAAATGTCATCTAATTAATAGAATTAATTCAAACAGCTTCTGACAATGAAGATATCAACATAGAGTATTCCAGGCTTTTAGCAGCTGAATAAGTACGTTAAGACCTACAATCCTGTACCATGGCAGATGTTAAAATACTTCACAGTGAGCTCACTTTGCTTCAAGTTGAGGGTTTTTCTCAGTATTTGGGGAAAAAATTATGGGTAGATGGCAAATTATTTCACATGAGAAGAAACAAAAAACCAAACCAGATTGACACAGATATTTCAGCTCTCTCCACCAAATGTTTTGTATACCCACTTAGATCCTGATTGTATTTAGGGACATCTGTCAGAGCTGAAAGCCCAGTGAAAGAACTGCAAATTAATAGGATAAAACTAGGTCTCAAGCAAGAAGCGTGTAAAGTCTTTCATAACTTAAGTCCAAATTCAAGCTGGAAGACAGGCTTTTAGCAAGGATAACAACTATACCAGTATCAGATACTCCCAGTGTTACAAATTACTGTAAGTAGTGGAAGACTTCATTCACCAAGAGGAGAAACTGGGGGTTTTGACAATACTTCCTTCAATTACAGTTAAATAATTAATATGTAATTATAATTATTTTAAAATGTTACATTTAAACAGTTTTAGGCAAAAGTCTTAAATACGAATGAGGAAGCCATCCAGTTTCTCCTCTTCCTTTCAGCATCTCCCCTGTGAAATAACTAAGCAGGAAAAAACCCCAACCAAATACTACCGAATTTTCAGCACAGCATACTCTAGAGAGCTCCCGAGAGAAGCCAGATGAGATCTGAGAGCATCTAGGCAAGATTATTACTGGTTTGTGACTGGAAAAAGGAGAACAGCTGAAAGATCAGGTCCTACTTCAACTACATCCTTCTGACATTTCTCCAGTGCAAGCCTGAGCCGTTCAGCAACAGCTCCCTTTTAATAGATTGGAACTGTGGAAATCTCCATTACGAAAAAAAGACCTGCGGTTAGCATTATCTGCAGAAAGCCAACAAACACCATCAAAGCAGCAGTACACAATAATGTTTGATAACTTCAATTATACACAGCAGACAAACAGGTTACTGCCATTACATGCTTAAACCTTAAGCATAAAGCCCCACAAGGAACTGAGCATGCATTAACAGAGATTCTGAATCTTCACAATAGCGAAATTCAACTTCCTTCCTTCCCCAGTACAATCAAAGCCCCTCTGCTTTCCCTTCAGAGTTACTGAAATTCAATTTTGGGGTGGCATTTTGCTCTTAATAAAGACAAATACACTAAGCACGTGTGTTAGGGTGGTGACCAACATGACACAGTGCAGGTTTTCCTGGGAGACACTACTCAGTAGAAAATCACAGTATTGTCATGCAGATTGTCTTGATTTGCTGCAGGTTCTCACAAATCCCTCTGCAGGGATTTTACTCCTCAGCAGACCATGCTACACTACAGGTAGTTCAGAAATAGAACTACACATAGATTTTAAAGTCCATTTAAAGAAGAGAGATGTATTCTTTAAGATGCAGCTCTCCACTTGCAATTAATTTAACCAGTTTTGCAGAAATGTCTTCTTTTACATCAACATAATTCTACCCAATAGAGTTTTAAATGAAATTTAAAGCCTGGTCTCAGGTTATAGTTGTTCTGACTCCTGGAGGGTAAAGCTTGAATAAGAACAAGGCAGCACAATATTGCATTTCATTAGCAATCTGCTTTCCAGTAATTTAATATTAACAAAAAGAAGAAGTTAATCTTACAAAGTTTATAGCCAGAGAGATGAGAGGCCATTATTAGAAACAGGCCTTTGCTACTCAATTTGTTAAGTCAATGAAACCACATTCACAGGAATGGAAACAAAATCGCAGCCTTTTACATAAACTTACAGCTACCTCTGCAGCAGCCTGGATTTGCTGTCAGAGAACAAAAAGCTTTAAGCACACCTAAGTACACTATGAAAAGCCACCATGCAAAACAATTGTCTTATGCAACATAAACGTTTCCCTCCTCTTCCTAATGCCCAAAAGCTTGATACTTGCCATTAAAAAGACCCTTGAAACATAAATTTGTACATTTTCTATTTATAATAGTGAATTCACAGCTTATCCTTGCCTGAATTTATTGGAAAGCAAATACGCACCCAAGAAGTCATCCCAATTCAATTGCCCACATTTAACAGCATGTTAGACTATAATGCATCATGCTTAAAGGAGTTTAAACATTTTTTTAAATGACTGCACTGTTTTAAACTGACAGTGCATCATCTCTATTCCCTTGTGGGACTACACTATGTTTATGGCACACAGTCTTATCTTTCACTGTGCTCTTCTCAGTATTTCTTGTTGATAATAAAGATGATGAATTGGTGACAGGCTGAGCCCCAACAAGATAAAATTGGTCTACACTGAGCTCTTCTTCTGCCAATAATTCAATGAGGAACGTTGACATGAAGACGACTGAATTTATCTCTGGACCAATATAAATGTACACATTCCACAACTCCATTTGTGAAAACAAATGGAAAGCTCCACCACTGGCAGAGGTAAAACTGCTACAGAAGCTACAAAATGTGGTCCAGAAGAGGGAAGAAGCATCTGGCTTCATGCCTTCTCCACATTTAATGATGACCTGAAATGTACTTTTTCCACTAGCAGTTTCTAAAGGTTTACTGTAATTATCTAACTCCATCTGAGCCCATAAAAAAGGGCTCCTACTCTGAGATGTTTTTAACTGATCAGATAGATATCGTTATCTCTGCTCACAGGCTAAATCTGCAACACAACACTTGTGTCTTGCCTCCCTTGCCAACCCATTTCTTCTCCTAAAACTTAGAGGATTAGCAGTCAGTAGAAATGCAGAGAGTCTGAAAGATTTCTCTGGCTCATGAATAACACATGCATGGTCTGTGACCAAGAGGCCAAAAAATCATTACAGGCTGACAGAGGTGACAAGTGATTTTGTCATATTCATGTGTTTAATCCAGCTTCTCAGAAGGCCAAGCACTTTTTCTTCTTGTGCCACAGGAGGAAAAAAGAAGAAACAGAAAAGTAAAGCAGCATTTACCATACATACAGCAGTAGAGAAGACAAAAGCTGGGAGAGGGAATGTGGAGAAAGAAAAAACAGCTATGTAAGACCTGAGCAGGCTGTGAACACACAGATGATGCCTTATGTACTCCTCTCACCTGCCTTGCTGCTGCATCTTTCAGATCACACATGTCTAGATAGGCTATAAACATTTAAGGTTAAAATTTAAAGCGTGTCATAATACAATGAATCATCCAAGGAATAAAAGACCTTACTGGCCCTAGAGCAGACTCCATCCTGTCAGCAACCGGTCATAAAAAGCCATACGAACAGCTCACTTTGAAGGCTAACAATACTACCAGTGGTTATGTGTAGACAGAAAGGCACCAAAATTCACAATAATTTGCTCAATGACAGGCAACTGGACCCCACAAAAGGAGTCAAGACAGATTGTAACTGCAGGCACTTCAGTAGCTGCACACAAACCAGCGTTTGTTTTGAAGCAGAACTTCACTGAACTGGAAGACTTAGAAACAAATAACTTCTCAAGCAGCAGACCAAGAGGTATGATCTCCAGCTTTCGTATGTTTGGTGGGTAAGCCCAATCAAACTGGGTGTGATTAACTCCTCATGTTTTTCCTATGACTGAGGATTTTCCTAACCTACCTCTCCTCTGTGATTCCTCTGGAGTTTTCTTCAGTAAAACTGAAGCCACCCTACAGAATCTGTGTCAGAGTCACCACTTGGACCTTTTCTCCTAACTGGAAACTTAACTTTATAAATACATAGGTATAAAATGTCACCAAACTCAGAGGAAACTGTCCAAAAGGCTTATGAAAGCATTTCTTACTGGGGAAGGTGACTTGTACTAGGCATCACATAGTTCTCTATGCAAAACCTCCACGAACAAGCAGCTTTTAGACAAAATCCATAATAAGGACTTAAGTCCTTCAGATACAGAGAAGTACATAGTGAGCAAAGAAACTGGGTCAGGACTGCAGTGAGGAGAAAGACACGCTGGCATTCTGGTGCTGACACATGTATATAGCAGAGAAACTTTAATAGACTTAAGGTTTTTTGTGTGGTCTATCACGTACATTGTAATTAACCTCCCAAGCAGTTGGAACAAAAGGGCTAATGAGGAAGCTGCACAGGATTATACATGGTCCAGAGAAGCCACAGGTAAACTAACTGGATTTTCTCTAGGACAAAGTAGTTTGCTCTGGAAGAAAAGGAGATGTCCAGGGCTCAAAGCTATGACAGAAAAACTACAGCTCTGCAACAAAATGTTGCATGTCAGTGATGCCACAGTAACTACACATAGACTGAACGTGTAAGCATGAAGTAGTTGAAGAAAATTTAATCCCCAAAGGCACAGTGGGGATAGCTCAGGTGATGAGGGGTAACTTCTTAGACTGCAGTTACTCAAAAATGTTTGAGCTCTAACAAGGCTTTTCATGACTGGAACAGAGCAAAACAAAGAACTTATCCAAGGAGAGCTAGAAGACATCCCTGAATTTTTTCACCCCAGCCAGTTATAACATACACCCTGCAGAGAGCTTGCTATGTGTTTCCCCAACCACATCCAAAACATTCCTACAAAATGCTCGTGCTTTAACAGGCACCTTCTAAAACCTGGGCAAAACTCAGCAGGTTTTCTGCTCTGCTCTGGACACTAGGGCTCCCAGGCTGCCTTATACAGAACCTGAGGTAGGGAACTTAAGAGAACACTTAAGAGAGATCCAAACATTCAGTTACTTCCCTAAAGAGCAATGAAGTGCACGGTTTCCTGACAGGGGGGAACATCTCTCTCCATCCCAGCAGAAACATAATAGCTCTGCATTATACCAAATACAGAGCTATTTCCAAGAGTCAGGCATGCTGGCCATCAATTTTGTTTTCATTACAGCCCAGAAAGCTGCTAGAAACACTAACAGATTTTCTAAAAGCAAGGTACAGGGCTGCCACATGCAGGACCAGATTCTGGACTCACATCCTCCATCATGTTCATTTAACTTACAAATTAGGAAAGTAGGGGAAGAGAAAAAGAAGTAAAATACTTCCAACTTATTTCAAAATTGCCTTCAGGTTATTATTATTAACATTATAATATGAGGCTTTAAAAAAAAAAGTGAATTAGAAGAATTTTCATATCCATCTGGTAAATACACATCACAAAACCTCAACTAGCCAAGCATATAATCAGTTATCTATTATTGTGAGGGCAACTGCACAGTGCACAAGGTGAACTGCTCCTTGCAGCTGCATTTTGAGCAGATCGTTTCCCAGTGATTAATGCTTTACTTCACACAGGCATAAACAAGGGTGGAAGTTCACATGTACAGACATGCCACATCCTGCATCTTGTCACCTGCATTATCAGTAACGTCCTGAACAGCAAGCAGCACAACCCAAAATATCTACTGTAGACAGCACCAGCTAGCACCTGATAGACTGCTCACAAGAAGGAGCTGCAGACCCAAAGATTGGCCTTTCCTCTTCAGCTCACATAAATGAGCACATTTCTCTTCCAAGTACTCTTCTTTCAATACCTACATAGCAGAAATTCATTTCTTCTCTCTTCTCATAACACGGCAATGTTACTGAATGCTAGTAAGTTGCCAGTGCAAGTAGCTTAAGTGCTGAAACTCACTGATTAAGTAGTACCTACTTTAGCTTATCCCAGCAAAACACTAATATTGGCTTTATGTTTAGTAAAAATTGCCATTAGAAAGCAACCCTGTTGAGCCATATGAAATGTGCAAAATATCTGGAGTAAATTTTGTAATCAAACATGTACTTCTTTTCTTCCAAAGCAAAAGATTTTGTGCAAAACCTCAGCATTTGCTCTTCTACGCTATTTCTAGAAGGTCTGTAAAATCTGGATACCCTCCATTAATCTGCTGAAAGCTTCCGCATGCCTATTGCTTTCCATGAACAAACAAACACTAATTATGTAGCAGGCAAGAGTATGAGATCCTTTCAAACAATGAAGTAAAGGTAAAAGCAAGCCTCCATAATCAAAAGACTCAAGAAAAATAATTTGAATGAAAGCATGGTTCAATATAAAAATAAATTATACAGCTTGTTTCACGTTGGGACATCAGAGGAGTCCCTGAAACAACAGAAATTCCACTGTCATCCCACAGAGAAATACCAAGAGAAGACTGGAGCTCAAATCCCCTTTTCCATAGCACAGCAAGAGTTATGAGTAGATACCACCAGATTGCTCAAGTTCAGAGTAGAGAATAAGCATACAGCCTTGAAGAAATGCAGTTTGACACATCCAGCACCATGCAAGAAAAGATCTGTAAGCAACCTCTAACTCACATCTCCTATAACTTATGATGTAAATTACTAAATGGCAATGGAAAATCCTGAACTAATGTGAGCAATGGAAATGAAAATTGTGGTTGTCATCATCATCTTCCTAACCACACGCATACTACCTGGACTTGTGCAAAGCACTCAACACTGTCCCACACGACATCCTTGTCTCTAAATTGGAGAGACATCAATTTGATGGATGGACCACTCGGTGGATAAAGAACTGGCTGGATGGCCGCACACAAAGAGTTGTGGTCAATGGCTCAATGTCCGGCTGGAGACCAGTAACGAGTGGTGTCCCTCAGGGATCAGTGTTGGGACCGGTCTTGTTCAACATCTTCATTGCTGACATGGACAGTGGGATTGAGTGCGCCCTCAGCAAGTTTGCCGATGACACCAAGCTGTGTGGTTCAGTTGATACCCTGGAGGGAAGGAATGCCATCCAGAGGGACCTCGACACGCTTGTGAGGTGGGCTGATGCCAACCTCATGAAGTTTAACCATGCCAAGTGACAAGTGCACGTGGGTCAGAGCAATCCCAGGCACAGCTACAGGTTGGGCAGAGAAGAGATTCAGAGCAGCCCTGCGGAGAAGGACTTGGGGGTGTTGGTTGATGAGAAAATGAACATGAGCCGGCTTCAGTGTGCACTCACAGCCCAGAAAGCAACCGTATCCTGGGCTGCATCAAAAGGAGCGTGACCAGAGGTCGAAGGAGGTGATCCTGCCCCTCTACTCTGCTCTCGTGAGACCTCACCTGGAGCATTGTGTGCAGTTCTGGTGTCCTCAACATAAAAAGGACATGGAGCTGTTGGAACAAGTCCAGAGGAGGCCACAAGGATGATCAGGGGCTGGAGCACCTCCTGTATGAAGACAGGCTGAGAAAGTTGGGGCTGTTCAGCCTGGAGAAGAGAAGGCTGCGTGGAGACCTCAGAGCAGCTTCCAGTATCTGAAGGGGGTCTATAGGGATGCTGGGGAGGGACTCTTCATTAGGGACTGTAGTGACAGGACAAGGGGTAATGGGTTAAAACAAACAGGGAAGTTCAGATTGGATAGAAGGAGGAAATTCTTTAGTGTGAGGGTGGTGAGGCACTGGAATGGGTTGCCCAAGGAAGTTGTGAATGCTCCATCCCTGGCAGTGTTCAAGGCCAGGTTGGACAGAGCCTTGGGTGACATGGCTTAATGTGAGGTGTCCCTGCCCATGGCGGGTGGGTTGGCACTGGATGATCTTAAGGTTCTTTTCAACCCTAACTATTCTATGATTCTATATCACATGCATACGCACCCCCTTAAAATACCCAAGCTATTATTTCCAATACTATGTGCTCCTCACACAGGAAACAAACATCTTAAGACTATAACCCCCTTAAATAATAATAGAGAAATTGTTCCTTGTACAAACTCCAGATGAACAGTAACTATCACAGTACAGTCAAGTATCTGTACTTACCTTTGCACTTGCTAAAAACCCTAGGGATATGGCAACTCTGGCTCGCAGGTCTGGTCTGTCTTTGGGCCACACATAAGACAACATCGCTCTGATGATCTTTTTGGCATCGATCTCTTTCAGCTATAGGAAAGAACAAAGGCACTGTATCATAAAAAGACCCAAGGAAGCAAACTAAGTATAAATAAGAATAAATAAATAAATAAAAAGTATAAATAAAAATGAATTTAATACATTTGGATCACTTCTGTATTTTACTGGAGAGGCAACAGACATTTCATATTTGAGACTAGGACTGCAGACTGAAATTTCAAGTTGTCAGTTTTTAGGTAATAAATCCTTGACACACTGCTAAAACAGATGAATTGCTCTTAATTCACATGTCCTCAAGAGTGCAAGTGTAGCTAGCTGTAAGTGGAATATGGAGAAAGCCACAATTCACCATAGCTTAAGTACTTCACAGAACAAATAAACTGGTCCTTCTTTATCTTCTCGGGATTTAGTACAAAATGGCTTGGTATTTCTTGTTTGGAAGCTGTTTTAACATAGCACAGAAAAAATGCAAGGAAGAAATGCAAAATGTAAAGTTAATGAGGTAACAAAAAAACAAGGAATGAAAGAACTCTGAAAGGTCTACAATAAACCGTAGTATGAAGAACATTCATGAGTCACAACAGAATACAGTATAAACCACCAGCATTTTAGCAACTCAAAATCTGAAACAGAGCAGCTATGCTAAAGTATAAATTCAACTGAATATGCATTTCAGCTCTGATTAGTTGGTTGCAAATTTAAGCATTTCCAACAATTCCCTTCACAGTTTTTTGGTCATCTTATCTTCTTTGCTGAGAAGTGAGAAATACTCTTATTTTGCCCATGTTTTCTAGGGCATACAGTCTTCAGTGGGTGCCCAATGAAGCTATAACTGCCAGCAAGAAAACTATTATAGTGGCCTTAACTCAGCTTTCAACATCACCACCTGATTTAACAGACTGGGCCCTGAAGGTGGATAACCAGGCTTCGTAAGGCAGATGATGTAAATGGCCACACATCAGCTTAACTGATTACGCTCATTTTTAATGAATTCAAGCAGGTTCTTCTCCAAACCTCAAATTTTGCTCTAAACAAGACTACAGCTCAGTTAGCAAGGCTTTTTGAGAAATACTGCGGTTTTTGGTTTGAGCTTTTTTTGGGGGGTTGTGTTTTGGGATTGTTTTGGTTTGGTGGTAATTTTGGTTGTATTTTTTACAGGAATACAAGTTATTTTACAGATGGACAGATGCCTGTATCACTTACCTGTGCGATGCACTCCACTAAACTCCCAAGCTACATATACTAACTAGCTAAAGCCTAGACCATGCTACCGAATCAAGAAGAACAGCATATGCAGTCACACACAGAACAAGTATCAACAACTCATTTTTCTCTGCTGATTACCCTGGGGTGAACTTGACAGGAAGGTTATCTAAAGCTGAAGGGAGGGCAGCAAATAGCAGCTAATCTCTCAATTTCAGGCAATATTTTGTAGTCAGGGGTGGAAACAAAATGTTAGTCCACACCTTTTAAAGATGACTTATCATTACAGAAGCTTGTCAAAAGGGGCAGTTTTAATGTTTCCCTCACTTTAATGTGCACTTTAAATGCTCCCTCCTTGACTTTGAGGATAAACCAATTCAAAATAGAAATTCTATGTTAAGGTCCAGGGTGAATGAGCAAGAAAGGAGTGCCCTGTTAAAAGGTAAGATTGCTAAGGCAGCCAAGGAAGCCAATCCTATACAGGTAAGCTTTTTATAGCACCAGAAAACTCATCTCAGTGTTTCTAGTCATAGCTTCAAAGAAAACCAAAGGGTAAGAGATACTGCATTTTGTCAGCAACTGCAAATGTATTGGAGCATTACACAGTATAAGCACATTTCAAACGACCTTTAAAAAGTGGATATATGGAAGATCTGTATGTGAAGACAGAATGCAAAACTGCTTCTGTTGCATCCTACCCATTCAGGAGATGGAGTATCTGCTGCAGCACATACATAAATCTTTCCATCTGAGCCAAGGATATGCATAAATAGCAGTTCAAACATTTGGAAAATATCTTTGATCACCACTTACAGGTTAAAAGGAAGTTAAAAAGAGGTATCACTTTAACACAAAAGATACTAGAGCAGCCAGAGCAATTCTAATTATACATTGCTATTGGCTAGTCAGACTTTGCACAGAAAAGCTATTAAAAAGAACAAAATCCATGGGCTGCATACACGCAATCTATTTCCTTTCCTTCATGGGTCTGAACAGTGACAGAAGTACATCCATTCAGAGAAAGAAGTTAGAAGGCAGCCATTCGTTTGCCAAAGGCCTTACAAAGGAACAAGGAGAAATATCAAAGGAGATGCAAAACGCACACATATTACATCAAAGTTTACCATGAAATAAATGTTACCATTGCACTGAAACATGAATTGAAAATGGTTTAAATATGCAAGTGGCAACATTAAGAATTAAAATGAGTAATCTGTTTAATGGACTCAGGGTCTGTTTTGATTCTCTGCTTATACAATAAAGTTAAGAAAGGGTGCATTTCTTTTATGTCCCTTTAAACGGCAGCAATGTTTCTGGGGAAGGGAGAGGGTGTTTCTACCATCTGGACGCATTATTTTTCAGCTAGATCACACTAGCTCACTATCTGACCACACAGTGACCTATCTAACAATCTATGATTCTATGTAGCAAGACACCGAGGTTAGGAAGGAGGTAGGATTCTTTCTTTCAGTTGCCTTATCAGCTTAAATAAATGTCAAACTAGGCCTGAATTTTCCTTCCAAACTTTGGGAAAGAAATACAGAGTCTTTTTTCTTCATACTATGCATCCCTCCATAGAAGGCAAGCAATGACTAGCAAACTAAATAGCAACTGAGTGAATTGGTGGTAGGGGAAGGCTAATTACCAGGGTTCCATCATGACTATCAGTCTTTCCATAAGCAAGCAAAATACGTCTGCTTAGCAGCAAGTCAGACACCACAGTTTTTGTACACAGAATAGACAGGAATAAAAGTAAGACACAGAAACCCCAAAGGTGGTAAAGAACGGCAATGGTTTCAGTTTCAGCATTCAGCACATCAGCCACTGCTGGAAGTAAAAATTATGTTGTAAAAAAACAGATGTGTCAGCTTCTCCCATAGTCACTTGAAGATTCCGTTCCTTTTATTTTCGCTGAGGACCTCTTTGCTTTTGCACCCAATGTTCCTCTTTAGTTTTTCCACTCTTCACACATTTTACCTCTTCTACAGCTAGCCCTTGCTGCTTTCTCCTGGACAACAGCCGATACTTGTTTAGTTACACAACAGCCTTAACTAACAGCATCCTATATTAACTACATTATAGCTCCATTTATTGGAATAAAAGAGTCAGGAGATTGGCTTATACAGGAATAGCTGCAAGCAATGGGTGAACACAGAATGCCACGGAATATTTACACTCCCTAGCAGGCTAAAAAAATACCAGCTGGCATCAAAATTTCTGGCTAACATATTCCTAGTGAGTTCTAACGCTAAGGAACATCCACTGCTCCTTAACGTTACCAGTGTTTTGGCAAACACAACCTTTCATTTCCTTCCCAACCCAAGAAAACCCTGAAATGTAAATTTGTGAATGATGCCAAGCTGCAGACCTTTGAAAAGTAGAAACTAAAGAAATTAATGTAATCCCTATGATGATTAAATAGATCTGTCCTGGCAGCTGCCCATCACATATTAGGTTTAGCTGAAAAATGTCTGCATTTCACGAAATAGCTGTTTAAAGAAAAGAACAAATAGCCCCTTGAGGTATTTTTGAAGATAGGTCAGTTGTGAAATGGATCTGCAGATGAATTCTATGAGGGCGAGTTTGTTCTAGGGATATACAAAAATCTTTTCCACGGAGCTCTGAAAAATGAAGGGTTTTTTTGACAGCAAATGGGAATTATTCAGCTGATCAACATCCCCAAGTGATCAGAAATTCTAGTAGGAAAATAAACCCCGAAGAACCAATAATTAAGCCCAACAAATGGGTGATCACCAAAGCGACAACACAGGGGATAATGCTCTCCTCCCACTTACAGGACAACTACAATCCATAATAATTCTATTCCATAACATGCATAATTAGAGGACACTCTACCAGCTTTACAGCCTGTTTTGCCTAGATCTTTGAAAGAGCCTATACATGTTGCAAGGAGGGTCTTAAAATTAGCCTGACGTTAATGTTACATGCAGAGCCAGCAGTACTATTAGCAGCCTTCCAGTATCTGAAGGGGGCCTATAGGGATGCTGGGGAGGGACTCTTCATTTGGGACTGTAGTGATAGGACAAGGGCTAACGGGTTAAAACTTAAACAGGGGAAGTTTAGATTGGATATAAGGAAGAAATTCTTTTCTGTGAGCGTGGTGAGGCACTGGAATGGGTTGCCCAGGGAGGCTGTGAATGCTCCATCCCTGGCAGTGTTCAAGGCCAGGCTGGACGAGGCCTTGGGTGATCATGGTTTCGTGTGAGGTGTCCCTGCCCATGGCAGGGGGGTTGGAACTGGATGATCTTAAGGTCCTTTCCAACCCTAACTATTCTATGATTCTATAAGATGTCAGATTATTCTGTTTCCCTTTGTGCCTTGTGCAGAAAAGACCACAAATGTTGGCTAAACCAAGCTGGCTACACTTTAGGTTATGAAATTATCTTACTACCAAAGCATAAATTTTAGTAGCATCTCTCCTGACCTCTACCTGTAGCACAAACAGGTTTGAATTCAATGAAGGGAAAACTCTTGGGTCAAAATTAAGAGGAAATCCTAGGTTTATCTCTTCAGTTTCTTTACAAATGAGGTTTTAAGAAAGACATTATCAGAACAGTTAAGCATGAGCAAACCTGTGCTGAAAGACCTCATTCTGCACCAAATTTCAGTTGGTCATCAACATGGTCTTCACTAGATTTAGGAAGATCCCACACGAGTTTGAACAAGTTATAATCATCACACTGAATGATTCTGTGTGACACATCAGAAATAACTTTGCACAGGAAGTGAGAAAATGAAAGTTACATAAACCCAAGAGCTTTGATTTTGCAATTTTAATCATGCAAAGTTTATATTGCGTTGTTTTAACCAAAAGCTTGCCTCATTTTCTCACTTTGATCATTTGGTCTAATAAAAGATACTGCTGCTCCTTACATACCTACCATACTTAACATGCACTTCCTGAATATAAATGTAGCCAAACCACATCAGACGCATAAACATCAAATCCAAGTAAAAATACATGCAGTTTAATTACTTCCCTCCCTCTTCAAATGCAATTTTACCAAATGATGCACTACCTGGTATCCACAAGCTAATTTCTGCTACCCTGAATGTCAAGTCACAGGGACGTATCAGTCACAAACAAGAAGAAGAAACCACAATAGCTTACAATGGAACATACTTCCCATGACAAAAAGTCCGACAAAACGCAGGCCAAATGCAGTGGAGTGTGTGACACGAAGACTGTGTTCACTGAAGCACTTGAACAGTTGTTACAAGCATTCAGTGATTTAAGAGCTAGCAAACCAACATCAACAATTAAGTAGCATTTACTTATCTACCAATACAGTTTTTACCAAGTTGTCACTTGGGGTCATCTGCTTTTTTGGGGAGGGGGAAGAAGCTGATCACATTTTTTACTTAAAAAGCAATGCTAATTAAGGAAAATTAAGCAAGATTTTACCCCTTCCTTTGGGTCTGTATGAAGGCCTCCACCTGCATGACCATGCCAACATGTTCTCTTTTCTATCAGCTGCCACCTCGGGAGGATCTGTGTGAAAATGAAAAGTCAATTTGCAAGAATGTCAGGAAACATGCATGTAAAAGCCAACAGAAAGAAGAACTACAGGTCTGGTTTGCCTCCCTCATCCTCCAACTGTATTAACTTGCTTTAACAAAAGATACTGCCTCTCTCTAAAAACCTCACGTTACTTAAGGAAACAATAGCATGAAAGGGACTATAAATCTAGCAGTATAGTAAAGACCATGTTCCAAGCAGCCAGGAGGTGAAGATGACAGAGCCTTAGGTGTCCTTTTAACTGGAATAGTTAAAAACTGAAAAGTGGACTAAAAAACATTAAGAAATTGAAGTTGTGGAGGATAATTGTACTCTCACACACTAATGTATAAAGTGGAACACATTGAAGCAATAATAATGTACATAGAGTGACAAGGTTCCCTGCTAAATAAATACAGAGGAAACTTCTAAATTTATTAATGCATGCACATGTACTAAATAATAACTCACTAGCACTAGGCATTTGTCCAAGTTCAATTTTGAAGTGCCTGTCACAAACAATGGACGTGGTAAAGCTTTTCAAGAGTCTGCATTTTGTTTAAGAGATCTGCTGCATGTTTACAATCTCCAGGTTCAAGCGATGTAAAAGCTCTTTAAGAATTCCTTACGCGGATGGTTTGACAGCAGACCTCAGGGCTTCCCAAATCTAAATTTCACTTTCTATGTTTTAAGGAAAAACATTATAAAAACCAAAGTAGATTTCACACTTTGAAGTCCCAATGACCCTCAAATGATTTTTAGCTGCTTGAGACAGTCTGATGAGTGGTTATTTATTAAAATTAGAAACCCCAAAACAACAAAACCCAAGACAAACACATTTCCCAGCTTCATTCAAGCAAAGGGTGTTACTGAGAAATATGTCATAATTATTCCATGAACAGTAAAAATTGCAGCTTCCTTGTTTACATGATGTTATGGTAAGCAGACTTCCCAGGAATAAGAGCCTGACATCCCGACATTCGAAATGGTAAGAATAAATTTCCATGGTTTCTTGAGATTCCACAACCTAAGCAGTTGTGGAGTTTCTAAGCAGAACTTTGAAGTAATAAAGCCCTAGAAGGAAAACACAGCTTTCTGTGCATTGGTACTTTCTATTCCTGACAACACGAATTGAAGTATCAATACACAAACCCTACATTTTTAAGAACTGTTCTTTGTAAGTTACTGTGTTATCATCAGTTTCTAGAGATTCAAAGAGACTTCTTGAGGAGACTGCAACACTGAAGCCTCTAACAAAAGGTATCTCCTTTTCTAGAGGCAGACACAACTTGCCATTTAAACTGCTGCACTTCAACACTGTAAATACTGAAGTAAATGAACTACCCAGCAAACTAAAGTGAAAAATGCTCCAAGGGCTTGAGTTTCCTCTGACCTGCGAGAAGGAAGAAAACCAATTTATACCTACCTCTGAAGCCTCTAATAATGGCCTTGAATAATCTCCCCCCAGGCTGGGCCACGATCTTTGCTTGCAGATTGGTGGAACCTATAGAACAAAAAAGGGGGGGGGGGGGGGAAGTGAAAATGGAGCTGTGCAGAACATGCACTTCACATTCAGAGAATATTCATCTAGCTTATGTAAACAAGCAGAACATGAAAACAGGGCAGATGGCTTTGTTCCTTAACAAGTGACCACAGAAAAAGGAAACTAGTGGGGAGCAGCTGTAAAATAAATTACATTCAACCATTAAAAATGGCAGTGACAATGAACCTTCCTCTTCCCTGAATCCCCACTCCCATCTGGCTTTGTTTCTTTTGTACCACGAAAGCACCAAGTTGTCCCTTTCTTCTCATTTCAATTTCCTCCCAGGTTGGCTTCTGATTTGTTTCAACTATTCTTTCGCTCCGTTTTTCATTATAAATTGTTATTCTTATGCTTATAGGTTCTGCCATTTCCAATTCCTCTTTGCTCAGCTCATGCCATGCTTGTCTCACAGACCACAAGGCTAATTAAAGCTGCAGCTCCTCGCTGGAAAGCACTGGACTATCAGAGATTACAGCGTGCCTGACTACAGGTTTTAGGCAAGCAAGCCATAAGACACCCAATATTCACATACCCATCAATGCATCTTTAATAGATACCCTGCTAGGCACCAGCTGCATGATGCTTTACATTTTACACTGAAAACAATTACATTTCCCTAAGAGTTTCAAAAGACCATTCATTTTCCTCACATGGACTAGCTGGAAGTGTTTCCCCAGTGGCAAAACAGGGGCCTCTCCTTCGGTTGGCAATGACGGTGCCACATCATCTTTGACACATTCGATATTACATCTTTCACTGCCCTGCTGCAATATTAACCATACACCTCACGCTATATAAAAATCATTACCACAGAGCAAAATCGTGGAAGAACTGCTCATCAGCCCAAGGCAAAGGACAGGTATCATAAAAAGGGTATTTTTAGCCTTGTCAGGCAGCAGCATTGTCGTATTTTATACCCTGCCTTAACCATTCCTTTGCTCCTGTCCTAAGATACTTACCGTAAGCTATCATTTAGTCAGTCATTTTTAAGAAAATTAAGATTACTCCCCCACAAGTTGCCACATGGGACGTGCTTATTTCAAGTATTTCCATTATATGACATTACATACAAAGAAATGCTTCCAAGACCTGGGTTAAATGCAGGAGCTGCAGTTATAAAGCATTTCATTGTAGAAACACTCATAATTTTACAGGTTCGTGTCCACCTACATGGACATCCATCCAATCTACATTCTCCATATGAACAGCAACGATTTCATCAACAGAAAACATAATGGAAAAAGAGAAGGACTTCAAGATGCCTCAGCACATCTCAAATTAATGCAAACCAATGCACTCCTTATAAAGGCATGGTTATTTGGGATAAAAGTTCCCATCAACATGGAAGAAGAGGAGACACTCCTGCCACGGCATCTGGGCAGTACCTAGAATCCAACACCCAGCTAAGCTGTACAACCAACACCAAAGGCAGCAGAGTTTGTAACTCAGCAGTCACCTCAACACAACTCCACCTGCTTCACCAGTCAGAGGCCATTCAGACAAATGGGTTAAACTATGACAATTCAGAATTTATAGTGGAGACATGATCCAGGGCAAGAGGCTTAATAGCAGCAAGTCCTACATCCACACCAATGAGACTGAGCTCCTGTCTCCTACAATCTAGAGCACAGCTGGTACACTGAAACCCCCAGCATCCTTACACCAGCATTTATACTTCCTCAAACACGTGATGCTGATAAAAGACCATTAAGACAAGTGAAGAGTTTAGGGGCTGATGAATCACTGCTCACAACTATGCTTTGGTTCCTCTTAAGACAACACATTTGCAACCTCTCCAGAGCAGGACCATTCTCTCCTGCTTGGCCTCACAAGAGAAAGAATCTTGAGTACTGTAAGAATTGAAAACCAGATATTTAACTCTTTATTCCTAGCAGATAGGAGCACACAGCAGATGCTCCAACAGCTATTGGAAAGAAGCTAATTACTGTTCTAGAGTGTACTCCTAGGACATCATAAAAATATTTTATTAATAATTCATATCCTTTGACCCCAAAGTCTTAAAGTTCTCTTCTGGCTGATGCATGCAATAAATAACATCACAGCAATAACTTCAAGTGAAACACCAGCAGATCTAATCTCAGTGACTACAGTAGATAGCCTACTTACTTGACTGAAGCTATAAACTGTCATGGGGTTAAGAGATGAATACAGTAAAAAGATGACAAAATTTGCATAAGGTACACAGGAAATCTTGTTCCTATTTTAAGTCTTGAGCCTGGAATACTGGAAGTCTCAATCCTCTCCCAAGCTCCTGCCTAAAAACCAAGTCTTGGCAAAGAAATAAAGAATTAAACAAGGTGAACAATTTATTTCACTGATACGTATCTGGCCAGCATAGTAGTATTAGTAAAGCTGCCCAAATGAGTGGGACCACTCTCCACACATTCCTCACTACAACTCATTCTCAAGAGATTTAAGACTACAAAGGAAAGGCATACCTGAACCTTATAGCAACAGATAAAAGTAGCAGGTTATTGCTTTAAAGGAGCGGGAGCAAGTCCTGCTTCTTTCTAAATTGAAGAAATTATGCAGGGAACTTTAATTCTGGCATTTCCTAACTTCTGAATGCCTGACTCTGCACCATTATGTTCTTTTTATGTATTTTTGGATATGATTCTAAAGGATGAAACAGATGTCTAGTACTGATTGCACATAAAAGTCATATTGCTGAAATGTCATGACTGTTGGTAGTAGTTTAAATACTATAAATGCAAACAAACAACAGGGTTTAAACACATTTGCACAAGGTCAAATCTACACTTAGAAGCTTCTCTCTGGAGTATGTTACATGCTGTTCCAGACATAATCTAATGGGGATGTTTGGGTTTTTTTAAGTGTAACGAACTGAAGGTAGGATTCAAGTACCTGTGCACTATTCAAGTCCCACCTAATTCTGCTGAGTTTGCAAGGCAAAAAAAGAGAAGCTGAATAGGAAAGAGCAGAAGAAGAGAGAAAAGGTGAAAATATTCTGGTATAAATGTAGACTACACTGTCACCACTATGAACAATATAAACTTAACTGCAGTTAGGTTTAACAATGGCCAAAATGCAATTGCTCTGTACACATACCTGGAGCAAACGATACCAAGAAAGTTAACAAGATGATACCCCCCCTCCCATTTTACCAATCTACCCTCACATTTCACCTGTTTTGGTAAAATACATCTCAATGGCAGAACAGAAAACCTATGCAGTATGACAGTAGGCACCCCAGTGTACACCACAGCACCCCTTCTACAGGGAGTGCTGCTCATCCTGTGCCCTCCTGGTATTCCCCAGATGACTTTCTGATCAAGTTCCCGTATTCCCGTCTGTTCCTTTTCATTATATATCCTTCCTCATGACAATTTTCAGTATTACTAGACATCCATTGTATAGACAGACATATGGGATTGCTGATCTGCTCAGCAGCAATACTTCCCCTTCCTCTATAAAGGGATTTTGGTAATCCAAGGAGCACAGAAAGCACATATCTGTCAGCAAAGAAACTGCTGATTAATAGTTCCCATGCATCAAGCTGTTCAACTGCACCATCAAAGTCTAGAGAAAAGAATTTAGCAATGCACACAGACATGTGAAATGACAGCTGGACAATAAACATCAGTGTTAAGTTCCCAGAACAGACCTGGCTTCAGGTAAACTTAAAAAAGCTAAACATGAAGAAATGTAAGGAAAATACCCCAAACTTCCCTTACAACCACTTCAGAGCAAGGGGTATTACTAAATTATGCAGAAGAACACATGCTTTATCACGTCATGTGGCAGCTGGAAGAGCAAGATAATGCAAGGGGAAAAGAAGTATCTTCTACTTTTTACTGTTACACTTGCAATAACATACAAAGCCACACTTTCAAAACAGCTTACAGTTCTGAAAGAACCCCCTCAGTGTATTTATTGTCTTCTACAGATTCCTACTAAAATAATTATCCTTAAAGGCTGTTGGACCTTTTCAGACAAATGCTGTTTTCCTTCCACTGACGTTTTAGATCAGAGCTTGCCATTGCTTTTATTTTGGATGTGGGCAAAACTGTTCCACAAAAAAACCCTAAGCTTCCTAAGAAAGAAACACCACCTTCCAGAGCTTACCAAGCAGGCCACATTCAACATGTCCATTCTCTCCGCTGGGATAATTTCACTAGAGCTTTTTCTTTCCTTTAACCACGTTTTTTCCTCACAAGTTAGGCTACGGCTATCATGTTTACCACTCTGAGCTGTAAAAACACAACCTGACTGACACAAACCTCTGCTATTTGTGTAGTTACATCAATAAAAGCACAACTGGGGTTGTACAGTTGATTTTACTCACAAAAATGATTTCACTACAGCAAGGAGAAGCACCATGTTGCCAGTATAACGGTGTCACATCAGGTGTACTCTCCCAGGAATGCCTTATTTAGGAACCGTTCAGGGAAGATGTGCCATTAAAGTCACTATCTGGATTTCACATGTGGTTGGGTCCTGCCAGTCTCCCATCCCAAGTGATGCGAGGGCTGGATCACAGGCATTTATTTCACATTTACTGCCCTTGGTTATATTCAACAACCTAATGCAAAATCTAACCCATATTTGATACCTAGAATATAGCAATAAAGGTAATGTAAGAGCTTTCCCGCACACTAAAGTATACCAAGACATGTCAGCACACAGCAGCCTGCAGGCTTTCACAGAACACATGCCATAAAACACTCCTTTCATTAAACCTTATTCCCAGATGACTGTGCAGGACGCAAGCTTAGGACCCCAGCAAGTAAATTTAAGTGGTTTTAAATGCAAACCCAGGTGGGTTTCTTCAATTTTTAACACATAGAAAAGCTTTCAGAATAAGCCCATTAAAAAATATTTACAGCTCGCACCATCATGTGCGATAACCATAGCAAAATAATCAGATAACTGAAGCTAAAATAGGATGCACATGCTCCCAGAAGAGGTTTTAAATGCTGAATGACCTGATTTATAAGAATCAATGGCTAATCTCTCCGAAATACGACCTGCTGAAGTGCCTCACCAGCTTCTGACAGTCACTTCTGTTGGTGCAGGCACAGGATTTACTGAGCTAGCTGAAAAATGAGAAGGAAAACTGAAATCACAGGACAGAGCATTTTCCTGTCAGCAAATTTAGTTAAATGTCAGCAAATTCAGTTAAATGTTAAGAAAATCATGTCAGATTTGTAAAGGCATTACAACAAAAAACTCCAGAACACTGAGCTTGAGCCTCCTGCTAGATAAGAATCAATTTGCACAACACACTTATGTAAAACATGCTGTTTGTCATAATGTGGAGCTTGAAGCGGAAGTGAATTCAAAATCAGGAAACTGTCAAAAAAAACCCATAATGAATAACTGACCACTTTCTAACACAGAAATGCCTAGAAAATAAAAGGCCAAAGAGATGAAGACTTGCACATATATACACACACACACTACAGACACAGCCTTAACTTTCTAGCTCAGAAAATCTAGTGCAAATCAACAGTCAGCAACATGTGGCAATTCAAACTTTACAGCAAGAATTTGCATTTCTCACATGAAAACAATAATACTCAAACGGAAAATGGAATGATAATTAATACTCCTACACATTACCATGACAACATTGCTATTTGTTCACTGACATCCAAAATACACCCCCAGCAACACCGGGCAACACCGAGTACCCAGACACATTTCATCACATCCAAATACCAGGGGAAAAAATGTTAAAGAAACTTCAACTCTCAGCTTGTCTTGCACAAGTTTCAGAATAAAACCCCCCAGATCACTATTTCAGCCCTCATACATATATATCTCATCTACTAAGTAACATGAATTTGACTGCAGTCCATGACAGAATTCTGCCTGTCAAGGGAAACTAATCAAGGCAGGTGACAATGAAGAGCTGCCCATGAACAGTGCTACTCTGAGGGAAGAAGGTAAGAAACAAGCTTATTACCAAACAGAAATAGTGTCTGCGAGCCCATGGGAAGTTCATCCTTGATCTTCGAGATACATTTCCTTCACACACTTTGAAAACTACACATGAATTATTCAAAGCTGGACTTAATGTGTTCTCAATTCTTGTAACAAAAGCAATCATTCACTGGAACACGTTACTCTTACACCGCTGACAGAAAGAACTCCAATTCCCATTTCCTTTCCCTACGTAACAGCAGAATTCGCTGTCAGAAGTTATCCTCGACACAAACGTTCAGCACCATCCAAGGGCACTCTTTCTAAGCCTTATCCGCACAACGATGATCCGACGCCCGGACGCGCCGTTCAGAGACAGAGCGGCCACCTGAGGAAGGTTCAGCCTGCAGCTGCCTGAACTTGCCCACGACTTCCCCGCTCTCGAACAAAACCCTCCCCACACACACTGACACCGGAGCCCCACGCCAGCCCCTGTCCCTGGGCAAGAGGCCCCGTCACCAGGAGCCAGGCACCGGAGAGCGGGAGCTGAAACGGGGCACGCAAGGACGGCACAGGCCGCCCCGCCGGGCTGCGGGGGGGGGAACCCCGCGGGCCCAAGGCCGCTCCTCAGCGCCCCCCCCCCCCCCCCGCCCTCGGCCGTGGCCCGCCGCCCGTACTTACCTGGCGGCTCCGCGGGGCCCCTCGGGGCCGCTGCCGGCCGTTCGCCGCCAGCCACCCGTGCGCGCAGGCGGCGGCCGCCGCCGGAGAACGCAGCAGGGCGAGGGCGAGCAGCCGCCGCTTATGGCAAGCAGCCGCCGCCAGGCTCCACGGAGCCCCCAGCAGCGCCATCTTCGGCGGGGCGCGGAGGAGAGGATTGTGGGACGGCGGCGGACTCGCTGGGAGGAGCCCGGGGCGAGGCGAGGCGGGGCCGCGCTGAGGAGAGGGCGGGCTCGTCGCCATGACAGCGGCCGGCTCCGCGCAGGCCGCCCGCCGGGGCCAAGCTCCCGACCTGGGGAGCCTTCACCCCGCCGCCGCCCGCTGCCTCCTGCGGCCGCGGCACCGCGGCTCGCCCTGTCTGCCGGTGCGCAGGGGCGAGGCGGGAGCGCGCCGAGGCTGCCCTCAGCTCCGCCATGGCGCCCTGAGGGGGTCGGGCCCATCCCCAGCCGTCACCTCCTCGGTAGGGGTTTTTGCCCTGGCTACAAATAAAGACATTGCTTTTGAGAAACCGGACTGTTGAAGCGCGGGGGTGCTAAAGCGCAAACCACGCAATAGCAGAGCACCGCTTGTATTGGAGAGCAGCTCCCTTAATCCCTGGTGAGGCTGCATCTGGAGCACTGTTTCCAGTGCTGGGCCCCTCAGTACAACTGGAGAGGGTCCAGTAGAGGCTACAAGGAGGACCAGGGGTCTGGAGCATGTCTCTTAGGAGGAGAGACTGCAGGAGCTGGGCCTGTTTAGAGAAGAGAAGACTGAGAGGGGATCTCATTAATGCACATAAGTATCTCCCTCTCTGGAGACGTTGAAAACCTGCCTGGACGTGTTCCTGTGTAACCTGCTCCAGGTGGCTCTTCCAACCATAACGATTGCGTGAATACAATGGTACGTTATAAAGTCTTTCTTCTTCAGTAGGGTGCTTCTTCCCATCTGCCACTTTCTCCACACACAGCTGGACACCAGTGCTGCTGTCAGACAAGAAGGGGTTCCCAACCCGGCACACGTCCCTCTCAGCGGGTTTTGGGGACCCACACAGTGGCTGTTCCAGTGGGTTTCCAGGGCTCAGGCGCAGGCAGGCCTCAGCCCGCAGAGCCATGAGGACAAGCTGTGATGATCCTGACGGCACATGGCACCACATGTCTCCACACAGACCTAATTCTGCGTTCCACACCCTTCCTGGGATTAAGCTCTGAGCTACCTGGGAGAACTCCTTTGGCTACCACAGCCCGCAGCTCAGCCATGGGTCCTTTGAGGCCAGAATCATGAAGCAATAGTGTGGTTCCTGATTTAGGACAAAGATACGCCATGGATTACATTTACCATGGCCTGTATACTCCTGTCTGATTGGCATGCAGAGCCGGAAGGAAGCTGTAACTGTGTGGCATTTTTAATCACATAAAGATTTCTTCAAAGCTACCAGAGCTTGACTACTGGTGCTCTTGCCTTGAGGGAGAGCCATAAGCTCATTTGCAGGGAGAAAATATAGAGAGACAGACGGAGAGAAAGGAAGGGGACAATTGGCTTAATGCTGCTTTTTAATGAGGCTGGCTTTCTTCAGCCTGTGCTTTGATATGCAACTTTGCTTCTGACCAGGATTCACTTTAAACGATAGAGGCGACATTTCTCTGTCACTAATCTAATTCTCCATCGTAATTGTATTTGGAACCTGGTCTGAACAGTGCCGCCCTGTGGCATTGCTCGGAAAGATAAACAGAAATCCTAGGCTTATGGCTTCCATACATCCACTTCCTTCTGCATGCCCTTTTCCACATGGAAGTTTGACCAGGGAAAATGTGGTGATTGTGACAATTTGGCTGCGATGGCCTCGACAGACAGGCTGGCCAGCACTTTTAAGTGATTTTAAACGTGTCTGCAACGTTTCTACATGTGTTCCTGAGATAGCCTTCGTACATACAGTGTATGTATGCAGATGCAGCACATCCTGGATCAAGCGGACCTGCAGCACAGGCTCTGAGCTGTATGATTCACATCTAGTATTGCCACTGTACTGAGCTCTTTGGGCATGTGCTATGTGGAATATCCTTTGTATGGATAAAGGAGCCCCGAACTGTGGTATGGCAGGATTTGACACAGCTCTTGTGCCTCTCTAATGGAGATTTACAAAATCCATTTATTGTGTTAAACCTCACAATACTGTTCTGAGACGACTGCATTACTACAGTCCTGTCTTCTTTACACAGGGAGAGAAGAGGTTCCTCATACCTATACAGTGTGTTGGTGATAGAAGCTCTCACATACTTCCAGTAAGACCCTAACATTCTAAAATCCCTAAAGGCACAGTTCTGATCTGGAGGGAGGCAGTTTGTTAATGATTTCTAGGAAAATATGAACTATTAATCCTCAGAGTTACATTTAAGAGCAGAGCAGCCACATACACTTGAAGAGCTGCATGGATTCTATTTGTAGCCAGTTAAGTAAGTGGCCTAAATTATGTGTATTTAAAAATGTTACAGAAATGTCATTTTTCTTCTTAAAAAAAAAAAAACATGGTTGTGTCCACCTTTACACTAAGACTTGCCCTATATTTTGTACAGCAAACAGTCTGCACTTTGTACATACTGCTAGCTGGTTTACAAGTTACTTAAAATGTATCCTATCAGTTAGCTACCACAGGGCTACAGAACTAACTAAAATCCTGACCAGAATGGCAGCCACTGAAAAAGGCTGTTTAACCTCTCCCAATTTAGACACATGCCATTCAGGTTTTGGTTGGTTGGTTGGTTTTAGGGGTTTGGGGGTGTATTTTAATTTTATTTTAATTTTTCAGTGGGCTTTTCATTTAACTTCTTTCCTCCTTAAATGATCTGTGCTGTATTTTGGTTATTTCATCTTGGTCTGTTCTGGAGCTTTGTTTTTTTGCTCAGTGTTGTATTCATTGTAGAATACATGCTGTTACGTTCTCATTGAGCCTTTCTAAGCTTGGCCTTGCATTATTTTTCTTCTGAATATTAGCCATCTGGCACTGTGTGCTGCAGCATTTAGTGCCACAAATAATAATGAAAAATAAGATAGTATCTCATGCTACTTTAATGCAGAAATGTAAGACAGAGGGTGCAAAGCTTTAGGCAGATAATCTTAAAGCTGCCAAAGCGTGTTGTTCCTTCTGCCCTTATTTTCCATAAATGATTCTTTGATTGGAGACAGCAGTGGTAATGGGAAAGTCAGTGGTTGATGCACATTAATGAAACTGTGTTTCTTGTAGTTAATGAACTACAGTCCTGAAGAAAAATGGGTAGGAAAGCCTCCAAGATGTATACAACTCTGTTCAGGTAGATGTGGGCACAGCCAGGGTTATTAACTTACATTGTTATAGAGTCATTGATCTCTAAGCATTTAACAAGTTGCCAGATCCTGAGGACCTTCCTTCACCTCACTGGAGCCTCCTGAGTAAGGACCTTCACCTTTGGTTATCAGTCTTCATCGAAAATGTTACTGCGCCCGTAGAAGGGGGTGTGTTTGTAATGGCAGTGGGGTTTGAGACAGATTGTTGTGGTGTGTGTGTGGGAACACACTTACGTTGTCTGCATCTAGTAATAGGAATAGAATGACAAAATCAGCAGTTGTTTTTACTTGCAATGGAATCCAGGTAAAGACTGCAGGACAGAATTCTGTGGGCAGATTTCTGGGCCCTGCTTGGTGATAAAGTGCACACTGTGCTCCTTTCAAAACTTAACAGAAACCTGTGTTCATATTACAGGCTCTGCCCTGTTCATTTCTGTCTCCAAGCCAAAGAATTCTGAAGAACACAGGTGATTATCCAACAGGAATGTAGCAAAGTCTGAGCAAATGTGGAAGCCAGAGGGCTTTTTTTTTTTTCCCTGAAACAGTGCCTGTGCATGCTCAGAGACAGCGTGTGTAGAGCGGTGCACAGGTCAATGAAGCTTTATACTTTGGAGAATCCCTGCCGCTAGATTTCTTAAACCTCTCCCTTTCTTTGGGGAGGAAGATTTCAGAAATCAGAAGCCATACAAAACCAGTCCCCCCTCAACCTCCCTGAGCATCCTCAATTGCAGAGGGACTTTCAAATCCAGGTTTTGAGACAAACACCTGCTATTACTTCCTGCATTCCCTTGTTGGCCTGGGGAGTTATCCTGTGCATGGAGAAGCATAAATCAAACGTGGGGTTGGTTGCTCTGTGTGTGAGCAAATCAGCAGTGGGGAATCTGACTGCTGAGATTTGCAGATGAATGCAGTAACAGAGAAACCCCCAGATCTGATTAACCTTGCAGACAAGAAACAGCCGTGAGTAACTGGAGCTGCCTCTGTGACAGATTTACCGGTGGCACCAACTTCAGAACAATTCCAAAACACAAACTATGCTTTTTCCTTGGCACAGCAAGAAGTCTGCAAGTGGGAAGCAGAGACTTCGGTTCTGTTGCACACTGACCACTAAGGGGAGCTCTTCAGTGATGAGATTGTGTTGTGTGAATAAGAGGCTTTGATAACCAACCCCCCCAAATTGTAGTCCTCATTGTGTTACAAGTGTGCGCTGTAGGTATCCTGATTGCAACTTTGCTTTTGTTCTCTAGGGTGAATAACTGCATTGGATTTTCTAACTACAAATTCTTTCTACTCTTCTTAGCCTACTCTTTGTTGTGTTGCTTGTATACTGCTGCCACAGTCTTCAAGTATTTCATTTAGTACTGGACAGTAAGTCACAAAACTTCAATTACTTTTTCATATCCTGTTTGCATATGTGTGCTTATGAGGATCTCTGGCACATGACTCTTCTCCTGTAGAAGGAAATAAGTGTTTCTTCTGCTTGTAGGATCCCCATTGGCTTTAAACTTTCCCAAGCCATTGCTGCTCAGCTATAATGCTGCCTGGTTGCTATAGCTGACTCCAGGGCTTCTGGGCATGCCTCATATTGCAGGAGCTGCAGGATTTTAATGTAGATACACAGGAAATTCAGCAGAATGTAAACAGGGCTTCAGTAGCTCATGCCTGTTATCTCCCAGTTTAAACTGTTGATTAGCTGCATGGCCAGTAATAAACATTCATATATCCGAATTTAACTGTCTCCTTCATATTTAAAATTAATACTTCCAGTCTGCTGATGACAAAATATATTAAAGAGAAGGGAAGCAAGATAACACAGAGATGGGGACAGCTGTGAAAGGAGGGGAAGACAAATCCATTTCTGCTGCAAATACAACAATAAAAAAAGCTTATTAATGTTTTCTTCAGTATTGCCCTTCATCTCTGAAAGTAATTTCTTAGTACAGTACAGAAATTCCAGGTGCATAGTGTAGACAAAGTCTACTTGTTATTAGTGCAGTACTTTCTTATATACAAGTACTAGAACAGCCTGGTTGTAAATAGTTACACCCTCTGCAGTTTCACTAGGTACAAACCCATGGTGATCCCTCGGCCTTGCTAAGGGTTTGTGAGCTTCCACCCGATTTAATCACAGAAAGACATCCTGTCCACATCAGCACATATTACCAGGTCTAAAAGTGGTCTGTGAAGTTAGTAGAGATATGCCCATGGTCTTTTAGCTGCTTGTATATAAGCTAGAAGTCATACCAGGCACTGTAAAACAGAGCAGTAAGACAGTCTTGAGGACCATCACCTCATGCCCATACCAGGGGCTTGTCTTAGTGTTTACTTTGAAATCATTCCTAATGCAAGATGGAGAGAAGGGAAAAATGAAGAAAGAAATTATCAGCTCTGAGGTTTTTCTCCAGCTATCCAGCTGACAGATGGTGTTGTCATTTTGTGGCTGAGGCCCAGAAGGGAAAACCTTGTCTGGGATTAAGCTTTCATTAAAGGGCATCCAGAGTTAAGACATCTATAGCCAAACCATCTCCATCTTTTCATTCAGACATTTCACTTCCATGATTTTCCTGGGATTTGTACCTTTGGATTCACAACTCATTTTAACATTCCACTTGAAGGATTTAGTGTACCCCAACCCTATCTTTAGAAATGCTTTTTTCCTTGGATGGAGTGAGTTGGAAACATCTTCTCTCCGTACAATAAATGGGATTTCTTAATAGTCCTTCTGGCCCTTCAGCAGAAAGCATTCACAAACCTATTAGCAATATTCATAAGATGATATATTAATATACCTATTAATTAGCAGTGCTCCCTCCACTTGGATACGTTCTTTGCACAGTGAAGCTGCTTTCATGTAGGCATATAAGTTTCTAGCTCTGCTTCACTGATAGATTATAAATAAGCACTTGGCTTGCTACTATTTCTTGATCAGGATTAAACACAGTCATAATCAGACATATTCAGGGTGAGAATGGCTTTATAAGGAACGATATCAACCTCAGGTTTGAGGACTCTGTGGTAAAATCTGAAGCTTCAAAGGCCTGAATTAATACACCTGTGGGAATCATTCAAACCAGTTTTATAGCTTTTTATAAAGCCTCTTGTTTATTGCAGTTCATTCTTTCATTCTGCCCCACATTTCACAGTTCGCATCCATCTGCAAATGTAACTTTTTTATGACTATTCTGACTACATTTCCCCTCATTCATCTGCTCTGAAATAAATAGAATAAATTAATTCCAGTTTATTGCCTCTGAAATACCTTGATTTTATGAGGTATGTAATACCTCCACACTGGAATTTCCATGCTTCTGCACTACACCCTGATGTAGAGTTCTTACAGGAAAAAACTAAGTGCCCATTTCCATTATCTTTCATTAGGCAGATGATGCTTTCAAAGTGCTGAGAAAACACAAGCAAAATAGTTTTTCTGCCAACATCCCATATGTCAGGGGTGTCTTCATTGTTAACCTTCATTTTGCTGCTGGGGATGCTGCAGCACCCCTGACACAGCTTAAGCTACTGCTCAGTGCACTCACCTTGTGCTCAAGCCCTGGTTTGCTACTGACGCAGCTCTCAAAGGACTGGTGGCTGTACTCTGGAGAACACCCAAGTGCACCCCTCTATTGGTACAATATTAGCTTGCCACAGCATTTTAGCATTTCATATTTTAGTATTGGCACCATAGTATTTGACGGTGCTTTGGGAGGTGGTGTGGGAAAAGTCCAGATTAAATATTTCTTGAGATTCTATTCACAAATCTCTGTGGTGTCATTTCCACTCCCAGAGCTTCTATTTCTTCTAGCAAGCTGCCTCTGTCAACTTTTCCAAGTGCCATCTCTGGAGCATAAATTGGTTTCTGTCTGTCTCTAAGGAGATTCTCTACTTCTACAGCTAAATCTGCAGAGAAACGGATATTTATTTGTGGCAACCTACTTGAAACAGTATAAGTTTATAAAACCTGCCTGTTAGCTTTCTGTGGCTATAGCATGAGCTTTCTTCTCCAGGTTAAGTCACTTGAGAGAAGGAGTTGTCATGCTTGTGAACATGGTATGTATACAGCCACCTTTTCTTTCTGTGTCTTCCTTAGGATTTGTGCAGTGCCTTCTACAGGTACCAACAATCTGGTATCATGTAAATAAACTGGTATCAAAAGGAGAAAGAGAAGATTGGAACTGGAAAAAAAGACTGAAAAAGCCTGGGGAGGAAATAAACCCAGCAATGCTGGAGAGTCATTAAAGAAGGAAGAGCAGGTAAAGGAAAATTTGCAGGGAAAGTATTCATATAAAATATATTAAGTACCTTATTAGCCCTAAAAATGTAGAAAAATAAAACAATACACATTAACATGGAAAATGTAAATTCTTAAGGCCATTTTTTTTCCTCAGGTCATTATAATTAGCTATTAAAATTAATTATAAAATTTCCCATCAAATACCATATAGCATTTGATATTTTGAGTATATACATACCCAGGTAATGCCAGATTCTTCAGTGCAGATAAATTTCTCATATCTTAGCCACTTAAATTCAAAATGCTCTAAATGAGAGAATACCAACTATCTCATCCCAGTTCCATTGGGAGAATGATTTTGCAGATTTTTACCTTTCCTCTATTTAACTTCTTCCCATTACTCCTCAGACTCCTTCCTTCTTTCACCACTAAGAGCTACTCACCCTTCTTAAACATTTACAGCATGGGGTGTGGCCACCTGTAAACTCACCTGCAGGCATTCAGCACTGTTACTCCCTTTCTCAAACCTAATCCCACAATCAACTGATGTGTTTCTGCAGTGTTAGATGATTGACAGGTCGTTATTTTCAGTATTCCATCAGAACACTAAACATTCCTTTTTGTACTTCACGAGAGGAGTATCTTTTATTTCTCGTGCAGTTGGTGATTATTTCAGAACGTTAAAACTGAATTAGATGAGAGATTAGTCTGTATAAAGAAAAGTATGAACTGAACGATTAAATGCACGTTTTCCATCTTCAATTTAGGGTCTTACTGGAAGTATGTGAGAGCTTCTATCACCAACACACCGTACAGGTATGCGGAACCTCTTCTCTCCCTATGTAACGAAGTAAGGCAGTTGCCTCAGAACGGAATTGCGAGGTTTAACAACACGTGCTGGTGAGTGATTTGTAAATCCCCGTTAGACAAGCACAGGACCTGTGTCAAATCCTGCCGCTCGGACCGGTTATCCTCACACAGGACACCCCATGCTGCACGTGCCGCTCTGTGTAGAGCCGGGTGCGGCGGCAAGGCTACGCGGGGACCATACAGCTGAGGGGTAGCGCTGCGGAGCGAGCCGCGCAGGGTCTGCACGCACACGGACCTGACCACGGCGCCCTCGCGCTCAGGCGGAACTCCCAACCGCACACCCGGATCTCCCCGCACTTTCCCTTTCCCTTTCCCTTTCCCTTTGCCCTTTCCCTTTCCCTTTCCCTTTGCTGTCCTCCTCCCGCTCCACGCACGGCGCGGGAAGGGGGAAACGGGCGGGGCGATGACATCACCACGCCGTGGATGTCACAGGAACGCCCCGCCCAGAGTGCCCGCGCTCCCTTGAGTGACGGAGCCCGCAGCCAATAGGATGAGGGCGCTGAAGCGCGCGGCCCCGCCCTCCCGCGGCGGCGCAAGCGGGGCCGGCTCTGCGCGGCGCGTGGCGGCAGCGGCCGTGCCGGGCCGTGTGTGTGCGGTGGGGGGCGCGCCCCGCGCATGGAGGCGATGCCGTGCCAGAGCCAGCGGCTCGGCCCGCGCCCGCACGACGAGGCCACGGCGGCCGGCGGCGGCACCCGGCTCATTCGCTTCGCGGAGCCCGGCGAGGACAGCGGCTGCCCCAGCCCGGACAACAGCAGCAGCAGCAGCAGCTCCAACGGCGTGGCGGCGGCGATCCCCGCCGGGGAGAGCGGCGCGGCGCCGCTCGGGCCGCAGCTGAAGCTGCTGCCCATGAACGACCAGCTGCGGGAGCTGCAGACCATCATCAGGGACAAGTGAGCGCCGGCGGGCCGCGGCGGAGGGAACCGCGTCTTGTGGGGGGGGAAGCAGAGGGAGGCTGCAGCCTTCGGAGGGGATGCGGGGTGGCCGCGGTGCCCGGTGGCGAGCCCGCGGGTTGCGGGGCCCTGCGGCAGTGCAGCCATGTCTGGTGACGTGCGGCCGCTCCGCCTCAGCGACCGGGGGCTTGGGCAGCCGCCCCGCCTCGGGGACAAAAGGCGGTGATTCGACGGGTCTTGGAACCCCTTACGGGTTTCCGCGTTATCTCCCGTACCTGGAGCTTGCTTCCGCATCATCATCACCTTGTAAAGGAGCATAAAGCGTGTGCGAGCCTCCACTGACTAGGTGCTGCATTGTGTTGGCAACCGGGTGCCCCCCTCCCTTCACACACGTTCGGTGAGCTCCTTGAAGGAGCAGGCTGCCCAAGGAATTGTGACCGCTCCATCCCCTGGCAGTGTTCAAGGCCAGGTTGAACGGGGCTTCAGCCTGGCCTTGAACACTGCCAGGGGATGGAGCGGTCACACAACCTGCTCTAGTGGAAGGTATGAAGATCGGGGTGACCGTGTCAAGGAAGATGTAAGAGCCAAGTCGTAGTCTGTACTTGAGGGGGTATATGGGGGGGGTTAACGATTGTGGGACAAGACTGGCCAGATAACAGCTCAAGAGGGCAGCCTGAGAGAGCTAGATTGGAGAGAAGTGGGACTAGCTGAAGTGAAAGTGAAGGAGCAGGGACTGGAACAATTTGGGCAAAAAACCCCACACTTCTGGAACACTAAGTTTGGAACAGTAAGTTTGGAATAGCATAAAGACTAGACCGTGGTGGGCTGGGAGGAATTAGGGAGAGGCAGTGTGAAGGAGGGAGGCAGACAAGGACGCTTTATTTAGGGCACATCACCTGAAAGGACACTGCCTCTTTTGAAGATGTTACGTGCCATCACTGTCACCAGGAGTCCTTGCTGCCACTATGCAGACATGAAGCTCTTGTTCCAGTTTTACACATCAAACTGGAGTGCAGAAACTGTGCCCCAGTGCTGAATACCCAGTGTAAGATAGTGAAGACTGAATGTTTTATAACGCCTTACATAGCATGTAAGTGTTGAAGGCTTCCCTCCCACTGGTCATGTCTGTAGCTTTTGAGTGTTCAGCACCTGGAAGGTGATACTACAAAGTACTGAATGTAGCAGGCAGCATATGAGAAGCTTAAGTAGTGGCCATCTATTGAAAGTGAAATTTGCCTACTGTGATGCAGGAACCACCAGCAGACACAGAGGTGTGAAATCAAGTTTATTTATAGGGTGGCCAGGTTCTGAATAGACCCTTCTCTTCCTGCAGCACGTTGGCTTTCTAACATCTGCAATAACTAACACATAGCACTGACATGGTTTTTCCCTTTGTTTCACTTCTGTCCATCTGCCTGGTCTCTGTCGGTATTTCTTGGTTCTAGAGGGCTTAATTTTCTAGGTACTATCTCTAATATAGCTTTATACAAAGGCAGTGTCTCAAAGGCAATATCTACATTAATTTTATTAGCTGACATAAGCATTCAAGGTCTGTCTGGCACCTTCCTTAGAAGTGGGCTAAGCAGAGAGAAGGAAGGAGAGGAACTCCAAATTCTGCTTGCTGATGGCCTGTAAAAGGTTTGGAGGTTAGTGAAAAGGAAATAGCATATAGCTTTAATATCTAGGCAACTACTAGCAGTGTAATTACTGTACCCAGGTAGGGTTTGTAATTATTCTTCTGTTATAAGTAGGTTTTGAACTCTTGCACATAGGTTTAATCAGTTTCTTGTTATAGTGAGTGAAGGCATCAGCTGATATTTTAACTTTGAAGATACTTCTGAGTTGCATCAGCTTCATTGCACAAGACTTTGGTAAGGGGAAGTACAGAATAAGTCTTGTAAATAATGCATTAGTCATAGCAGCTGCAGTGATCGCAAAGTGTGCTGGGCAGTGGAGATGGCACTGTCACTTTCCAGCTCCCTTCCCACCCAGGGAGGAAAACTGCGAACTGCTCAAAAGGCATGTGTAGGCTTTGGCTTTGTATGTAAGGACAACAGGGAAGCATTATTTCCATGTTCTGTCCCAGAACATCAGCTGCACCTCAGTAAATAAGAGACCTCAGACTGTCCTATTCCAGTACTGATCACTCAGAAAGATGCTATAAAGTGCTCAGCTGCAAGGAGTTAAAATCAAGAACAGGTGACACCAGAGCTGCCTTAATTCAAGGTGTGTGTGTGTGGAGGGGTTGCTACAGAAGATGGGTGCTGCAGGTGCAGCAATCATCTGAAAAGGGTAGATACGGAAAGGCAGGCTACTGTGAGGGGAGAGAAGCAGAAGTGGAGAAAAAACAGTTAATTTAGGACTATTGCTGAAAAGTAAGGAAGGGCTGGATACTCCCAGTGCAATGCAAGTTAGAATCAGGCATGCTTATGTGGAGCTAAGGATGATCAGGCAGATGCAGAATCAAAGAATAGTTTGGGTTGGAAAGGACTTTAAGATCATCCAGTTCCAACCCCCTGCCATGGGCAGGGACACCTCACTCTAAACCATGGCACCCAAGGCTCTGTCCAACCTGGCCTTGAACACTGCCAGGGATGGAGCATTCACAACTTCCTTGGGCAACCCATTCCAGTGCCTCACCACCCTAACTTCCTCCTTATATCCAATCTAAACTTCCCTAAGTTTAAACCCATTACCCCTTGTCCTGTCCCTACAGTCCCTAATGAAGAGTCCCTCCCCAGCATCCCTATAGCCCCCCTTCAGACACTGGAAGGCTGCTCTGAGGTCTCCATGCAGCCTTCTCTTCTCCAGGCTGAACAGCCCCAACTTTCTCAGCCTGTCTTCATACAGGAGGTGCTCCAGCCCCTGATCATCCTCGTGGCCTCCTCTGGACTTGTTCCAACAGTTCCATGTCCTTTTTATGTTGAAGACATCAGAACTGCACACAATGCTCCAGGTGAGGTCTCACGAGAGCAGAGGGGCAGGATCATCTCCTTCGACCTGCTGGTCACGCTCCTTTTGATGCAGCCCAGGATACAGAAGACCTCATGTACTCTTGTCTGTCATGTGAGCTGCTCAGAAAAGTGGAAAGCTCTTCCCTTGGTCCTGAGAGGATTCGGAGAAAGAAATCAAGGCCTTCCAGTTGGGAATACTGTCCAGGTTAAAAATGTGGCTGGTCATCATGTCCTGCGGGGGGTTCAGACAGCTGCCTGAGTCAGTAATGGCCATCTGATAGACTAAACTGACCATGTATTTCTTTGCTTCACTGAAGTTAACAAGAACTGTGTGCCAGAATGAGGAGATGGATGGGTGGATCACCTCGAGTGTACGTGGGTTTGCTCGTTTTCGCTCAGGCATGTTCACATCTCTGTCTAGCAAATGCTGAACGGGTGGGCAGATGCAGTTTGCACTCTGTCTTGGGAGTGAATTTTGAGTCATCTAATGGGATTTAAGTACTGAACATCTGGGGACAAAGTTACAGCCTCTTTCTGAGGAGGGTATGATCTCAAAGCAATTTCTGGCCTCCATAGGGCACAACCAGGGGCCTGGGAGCAGTAGTAATGCAGCTCTGTAACGTAGAGCTCTGGTTTCTATAGAAGCAAATTCTTTAGCTCAGATCTGTGGTGTCATTTTAACTCCTGATTTAGCAATAGACACGATTTAAATGTAGGCATTTAAAGGTTATTGTTACCTGTGATCATTCTGTTGTGTTCTGCAAAGGCTTCTTACTCCGTGGGGAACTGAGTGAACAATATAGACATGAAGGCAGTAAAGCAGTAGGACACACAGTCCTGACTGCTATAAAGAGTAGGATGATTCAGGAGTGTGTAACTCGCCTGCGATGAGTAAAGATGACTGCTGCAGGCAGGAAGGGTGGAATACCTTCCACATACCACCCCAGCCCAGGCACTGCAAAAAGTGAAATACTGAAGTACATCAAATACTGAGGTGCTGCAGGTAGAACCTGGTCCTGCTTCACCACTACATCATCAGCCCGGAATGGCAGCAGTTTGCCCAATGTCTCAAGTTTTCTTAGAAAAAACATTTACAAATTCTGTTTAGGGAAGCAGCTTTTTTCAGTCTTGCCTGCACAGTGCCCTGGGTGTCCCTCGAAGTTCCTCTGTAAGGTAACTGGAGAAACGGGTATTGCTGAAGTGCATCAGACCACAAACCCTCAGAGCCTACAGCTGCATTAGTGGTTGTGACTAGTACCAAGTGCTATAGCTGGAATAAACCCCGTAGTTGGCTTGTATTACAGTACATTCCCCAAACCATTCCTTTTCACCTCTTAAGACACACGCATGGCTTTAACTGTACATTAGCCAGGCTTCTGTGCCTTCCGAAACAAAATGAAACTCATTTATATTGTGTAATGTCATGTTCGTGCTGTTAACTGTGTGCTACGTAGGTTTTAATGCCTTGGATTTTTTAGGTGTTGTCTTATTGCTTGATGAAGAAACTGAAGAAGTTTCTGGCCTGCCATTGTTATTTTCTGTCCTTGTACCTGGTGTTGAACAGTTGCAGTGTTTTCACATAAACCTTTTTTTCTGGCCCCTAGTAATTCTCTCATGCTGTGGGGTTTGAAATCTGGTCCCAGCTGGCGGTGAACAAGAGGTCTGTCATTTTCAGTATTGCTGTTATTTGCCTGTCATTTTTGTGTACTGTTGTTTCCTATTGTCCTCCTCCCTGCAAAACCCAACCATAACTGAGTAAGTTCACAGTTCAGTGAACTGTGCATCAAAACATCTGTGTCTCTCTGGACAGAGGAGTTAATTTAAAGCCTAGTAATCTGTATTAATAACTCGCAGTATTCACTCTAAGCATACATCACTTGGCAGTCAAAACCGCAGTCCTGGTGATGCTGGGTTTGTCTTGCCACAGTCAGAAATAAGCAAACAGCTTGATTTTCACTCACATAAACATAAGATGCTGCAGAATCCTGGGGATCTAATGCAGAACTCTTTTTATAGTGTTTAAGGAGACATCCAGAGTCTCATGGCTGCAAAACAAGAGAGGGGTATGCCTGCACTGGTTAATAGGAAATGTTACGTACAAGTACCTGCTTAAGGTATTGGTGCTTTGTGTGTGTTTTTAAGGCCAGCATGCTGTGAGTGTTGGCTCCTTCCTTGGAAATTTGTCCTGCTGTTGTGTAGTGAGAGTTGGTCTTGACATGGGAAGTGAGGTGTTAACAACTGCTTTTAACATTCAGGCCTTCACCACATAACAGGAGGAAGTGAGCTTACTCTGTCCTCTGAAGGGTTCAAAAGCTGCACCATCACAACAGCAAAGGTTGCACCCAAGCTAATAAACCAGCAGGGATGTGTTTTCATGGGAATGCTCATTAATCCCTGCTTGTTTTGGTCTCAAGTTCACTAATCTAATCACACAATGAGGGAGTTCCAGATAAGATAAGGGGAAGTTTAGATTGGATATAAGGAAGAAATTCTTTCCTGTTAGGGTGGTGAGGCACTGGAATGGGTTGCCCAGGGAGGTTGTGAATGCTTCATCCCTGGCACTGTTCAAGACCAGGTTGAACGAGGCCTTGGGTGATATGATTTAGTGTAAGGTGTCCCTGCCCACGGCAGGGGGGTTGGAACTGGATGATCTTAAGGTCCTTTCCAACCCTGATTATTCTATGATTCTAAGATAGGGTATGTATCCTGCTTATCACTTGTGATAACTCTGCTTCAGGGATGTGCACTGTTACTGTCCTGTGGGTGCTGACTGACCCACACAAGAGCAGCTGGAGCAAAGCTCTATGGCTCAGAGCTGTGGAGACTGCCAGATTGGTGCACACCTGATCTTGAGAGGTGTGTTGGAACCGAGCTGTAATGCTAATACAATGGAAAGCATACACATTATCATCCTCATATTTTCATGCTGTAATTGCTGCTGGTGTAGGGCAGCAATGTTGGCAGTACTAAGAGGCAAACTCCAGTGTTAGCTCACTGCATCTCAGTCTTCACCACCAAATAGGAAACCCATGAAGCAGAATCTCTGTGGGAGAAATGTTGTATACAGCAGGAGACTTTTCTCTGAACTGCCTTTAGAATACACTGTCCTGGAATTCTTGTTATATTTAAGCAGTGTTCTTAAAATTATTCCCCAAGGTAAAATATAAATTATTACCTTTTCCAGGAAATCCAGTAGAGGAGACTTCGTATTTTCTGCTGATCGCCTGGTAGGTGAAGAATTCCCTCTTCGTGGTGTCGTACTTTGTAACTCTTCCATAAAATGGGTCTTTCAGGACGGAATAAACGACAGCAACTTTTCTACACAGGAAATTGCTCTCTGACAACAACTTTCCGTACAGGGACTGCTGTTCTCTGTTCATCTCAAAGGGTTCCAGAAACGATGTTGTTACCAAACACAGCTACGTCAGGTCAGAGAGCAGCAGTAACGAGAGTACTCTAAAAACAGATGCACGGAGGCTGGACATAATTCAATTTTACTTTGAAATTGTACTTTTGATGTTATGAACAGAGCTGTACAATTGCTTACAGTGTAGATGTTAACAATTGCTTGCATGCAGAAGTGCCTCCTGGTGCTTGTGGTGTATTAGATTAGTAGCTCTGGGTGCTTCCACTCTGGGGGCTGCTTTTTAGACATATGGTAGTTACTAACAGGGACAGAGGACTTCGAAGTTCTCACACGTTGTAGTAAGTCAGAACAAAGACTGCTGGGAATGGAACATTTACCGTATTTAAGGTACATGCTTAAAGAGAACCACAGCACTCACACCCACACTTGTACTTCCTCGTGTTCTTAAGGGTGTTTGCAAATCCACATCGCTAACAATGAAAGCCTGTTCCTCTCTAACAAACATGAGTCCAGAGACTGTTCAGTTACCAGCACCATTTGCTACAGGCAGGTTTCCTGTGGTGAGCCAGTCTTAATCCTTGCCTGATCTATGCTTGCTCAGGACTTAGCTATGCCCACAGCCTCCAACTGTGCATGCAGTGCTTTTTATCTTGGCAGCTTTTCCACTTCCCCCCCGCCCCTTCTGATCTGCACCCTGTGAGGGTGCAGGTGCTTGGCAGAGCATCCCATAGTAACCACAGCTGGCGGACGCCAGAAGAAGAAGGTGCTAAAGAGATTTCTAAGATCTGCTGAACTTCTCTTTGGGCACTCAGTGGTGCGTTTACATTGCTGCAGGTTCTGTGGCTGTTCTGGCAGCCCCACTGCAGCTCACAGAAATGGGGATGTGAAGACAGACCCAAGAGCCTCGCTGATGGGAGCTGGGGCAGGGTGTGTTTTCCCTTTTTTCCACTAGTGTTTTGTGTCGGCAAAGTGAAGCTGCATTGGTGCTTCACTCTTTTGTTGAGAAAAACCTGTCTGTGATGCCTGTACCTGCCAGACAGAAATAAAGTCAGTTTTGTGCCTGGTGATGAGCCACCCCCTTCCCTCGGTTCTGTTTTGTAATGCCTTCTTTGGATTTGTGGTCAAAACAGGCATCACCCCAAAAAGGTCTCTAAATTCAGCCCGTAACTATTAATTCAAGAGACCCTTCAGGCTGTTAGGGGTTCACCTAGTACTATGTAACACTCACTAACATTTAGCATCTTATCTCCATTGATAACAAATCCCTTTAAGGTGAATGATCCCTTTGATTCTACAGATCAGACTTGTGGTTGAAGAGGGACTGAATCAACTGCCTTACACAGAATGCACCGTGACCACTCCAACAGGTATGTGGGGGATTACCCTGCCCATGGGTAGCACTGTAAGTGGAAACTTAACTAATATAAAACCATATGGGACCATTACAAGAATCATACAATATCTTGAGTTGGAAGGGTCCCAAAAGTCCAACTCCCTGCTCCTAAAACTGAACTATGTAAGAGCATCATCCTGACACTCCTTGAACTCAGCCAGGCTTGGTGCCCTGAGCACTTCCCTGTGGAGCCTGAGGCTGAAACAGTTTAACATCCAGGGTAGAGAACAGAGTTAAGGTCCCTCCTGGTATTTTAAAAGCACTTACCAGGCTTCTTAAGGGACTTTCTGTTTTCCTTTATTTGGCATAGCATCATTTAAGATAAATACCGAACACCTGAGTTATAAACCACACCCCTGGAAGGCAACACTTCTGTGCCACCTTTCTAGTGTGACTTTTAAAGATAAAAACAGCACAAGTTCTTTACCAGTTCCAGTATGGGCTCTGTTCCATTGCCTGCGTGGGCTGCAGGATGGAGCTCGCTTCATCCCGCCTAGGGAGCTCGCTGCTGTCCCGCGGGCATTCAGAGGAGCTCAGTTCCATTCCCATCACGGTCACGTAAAACAGCATCCTGCAGAGGGGCATTGAGATGGGGCAGAAGGAGCAATTGCTGCCATTAACATCTGCTTTTCTTTCTTTCTTCTCACAGGACACAAGTATGAAGGAGTCAGATTTGAAAAGGGAAACTGTGGAGTCAGCATAATGAGAAGTGGTAGGCAGCTTCTGGTTGCTTAATGAGATGAATTAAATGTTTTGGAAGCCTGTAAGCAACTTCCTTTCAAAACCGTGCAACAGCACTTCTCTACAGCAAGGGTCTACCCAAACCCACCAGCAGTTCCTGCTTCTTAGGTATCCTTGATCCCAGAGCATCAAGCAGTGTCTGTCATTAACTTCTTAGGAGAGAAACAGCTGCCACAGATCTCACCTGGCCTCTTCTCTATCAGCTGTTCACTGTGAGAGGCCAGGCCAAGTGTCCTGTGTGCTCCAACCACTGCAGCTCAGGGACAGGGCTCCAAATGAACCATGCTCAGGGTTATTCTGCCCAATGCTGCAGGGGCCTTTGTGTCTGGGATGTAAAATCCAGTGGCCCCACAGCTTCCTGCACTGCATCCTGCACCGGGGCGTCTCTGGGCAGAGCTCAAAGACGCTCTCCAAACCCCACGTTTGTTCTGACGTTTCCTTTGAGGGCTCAGTGCTGCTGTGTGTGAACACTGACACCCAGGAGAGGAGTGACACCGAGCAGAGTCTGTCTCTGCCCAGACAGAGAGAAAAGAGCTTCAGGTGGCTCTGACACCTGGAATGGGAGGGGGAGAATCTCTGTTGTGAGCAGTACAGCACTGCAGGGTCTGCTCAATCGTAGCCTCATGCAATTGTGCCCTTTCTTAGCGTGTGACAATTTGTTGTTGGCTTTTGGTGCTGCTCCTTTTAGGAGAGGCAATGGAACAAGGATTACGAGACTGCTGCAGATCGATCCGCATTGGGAAGATCCTGATACAGAGCGACGAGGAGACGCAGAGAGCCAAAGTGTACTACGCCAAGTTCCCACCAGACATCTACAGAAGAAAGGTTCTGCTCATGTACCCAATACTCAGTGAGTGTCTGTTTCGTGCAGTTCGACTCATCCGGACAGGGAGGACGTGGAATTGAAAGGGAAATTGCCAAATTTCAGGGGCTTTGATTAGGTTTTTCCCTTGGTTTAGGTGCCATAGCAGGGAATTGGTCAGGCTGTGCCAGAATACGTGTTAGCCAGCCTGCACCAGCATGAATGCAGAGCAGATCACCTGGGCACGCCTGTGTTTGTGAGAAAGGCTGCAGCATTAAGACTTGCTATCAATTTAACTTCTTAATATGTGCCATGAGAAAAGACTCAAACCGTATTTTTCTCATGCTGTTAAAAGACATTTTTGGATTAGTATTAGAATCCTAGAAGTAAATTACTTTAGAATTAAATACAGTTAATACTACCAAAAAACCCATAATCTGGTAAGTGTGGTGAGGAGTTCGTCAGGATGAAGTAACTTTTCCAGGGTAAGATTTAATTCTGGTTCTACACATGGAGCTCTTAATTGCTATTTTACTATTTTAGATGAGCTTTCTTGCCTCGGGGCTTTAATCAAATCCACTGACTTCAGTGCTCAAACCCAGCAGAGCTGTTTCAGAGCTGGGAGAAAGTTCCTTCTTCAGGATACCAAAGCCTTCTACAGTTAATACATGCAGAGGCGATAGTTCTGCAGTGGGAAAGGACGGTGTTGTCATTCAGTCACACCCCAGTGTGAGCACGGATGTCCTCTGGTGGCTGAGGACAAGTTCTCCAACAAGGGGAGAGGGGAGATATTAAACAGATCATTGTTTCCCCTTTCAGGTACTGGCAATACTGTCATTGAGGCTGTCAAAGTTCTTGTAGAACATGGCGTACAACCAAGCGTCATTATCCTGCTCAGCCTGTTCTCCACACCTCATGGTGAGTTGAGGGCTGTGAGCGGGACAGGAGCAGGCACAGGTACCTGTAATGGGGAGTTAGCTCAGCGAGTGCTTGGGGCAGTGGTGCAGAGCTGCTCCTTTGCTGGCAGCGGCAGCGCTTTGTTGCTCACCTCGTTTTGGCCGAGTTTAAGAGCAAGCAGTGAAGCGTGTGGGGCGGGAAGGGAAAAGCCCGTTACACCTAATGGCAAAACTGCAGATGGTAAAGTATTCCTCAGAGCAGGAACGTGCAGTGCTGCCAGGGCATGGAATGCTTCAATGGCTGCCTGAGCAATGCCTGTCCTGCTAGCCTCAGGACTGGCAGCCACGGGTGGTGCTGAGTTGGTGTGTACATGAAACTACAGAGCTGTGTCTGTGTGCTGAAGGTCTTAACGTGTAAAGGGGGATCCCCAAAGGGGAACCCCTGTGTCTGTGAAATAGAAAAATAGATCTGTGTTGTTTTAAGCATAGGCCAGGGCAGAATTCACTGTCAAAAACGCCACTGAACTGCAGAGTTATTCTCCTGTCACCACTGTGGTGATTGCATTGGGAGTATAAGGGCGTGGTAATGAGATAAAACAAGTCAGAAACCCCCCAAAAAGCAATGCAGTAACTTCAGGAAGTTTTTCCTCATAGACAGTCAGCTAAGGCAGAAACACGCAGTGGAGGTGGAGGAACAGAGCCCGACTTACCTGTGCAGGAGGTCTGCTAATCACGGTTTAACTTGTGGCCACAGTGCTGCATTAATTATTGCCTCTGTCCTCTCTCAAAAGGTGCCAAATCCATCATCCAGGAATTCCCAGAGATCACCATTCTAACGACAGAAGTTCATCCCGTTGCACCAACACACTTTGGACAGAAGTATTTTGGAACAGACTGACGGAACACACGGATGTGACTCTATGATGTTACAACAGGTTTTTTTTTTCTACATTTTGTTATTGGTTGAGGGCATGTTTTAAAATGTTTTTGGCCAAAGGGGGAAATATTTGACTTAGGTCAGTTCTGGTTTACTGCCTGAACACGGAGTCAGGTTCAGTAACAAAGCACTCTGTCATGACAAAGTCAAGCATCTCAACACTGGGGTTGTATAAAGTGCTACACTCTCTGCTTTAACTTATTTATTCTATAGCCTGTCTTGTGGCTGCTTGCACAAGCAAAATAAAACAACTCAATCAGGGTGTGTGCTTCATTTCTAGTGCTCACAGTTAGATCACTCCGGGTCAGCTGGTGTGGCTGTTCCCAACGCTTCCAGAACAGGGTGTGCTGGGAACTCCATGGCATTCTTAGCAGCCACACCAAAGCTTAGGCAGAATCTTGCCTTGAGATGATGGCCCAGAACTCAAGAGAGGACTCTGAATTCTGCTCTGGAACTCAGCTTTTAGCTCCGTTTGCAGACAACAGGGCTTAGGGCTTACAGCCAACAGACAGATAGGGTGCTGGTGGCTCTGTGCCCTTCAGAAAGACTCAGTGTAGTAATCATATGGATCAGATTAAACAGGAACCTGCAGCCAAATTCTGTCTTGGCTTTAAATCCCCTGGCACTGAGGACACAACAACTGGCTCGTGTCTTACCTTACTATAACTTACACTTTATGTATCAAGACAATATAATCCATTCATAGATTTGAATACAGCCATAGGGTAGGAAGTGCAGGAATGCAGAACATCACCACCACCAGAGTACTTCATACCTTGCCAGGAGAGTGGAATGCAATGGGCTGGGCTGCCCCAGCCAACACCCTGTAGGACCAGGGGCAGCACTTGGTGAATCCTGGTTTAGACACAAATAAAGAACCTTCCCCACTCCAAGCAGTGATTTGAGTTAATCAGAGCTGTGTAAGAGAAACAACCACATACAAGTATAATAAATTGGCCAAAAGTGGGTTTAATGCAGCCCTTGCCTGCAGTGCAGCACAAAGCGTGCAGGCTCTCTTGTATAAACCGTAATAGAAAATGACGGCAGACCACAGAGGATATTAACCTGTAGAAACCATACGAACACCAGGAGAACACAAGTGGAACGCACACAAAGCATAACAACAGCAATGTTTGTCAGACAGTAAAAACGAGTATCCAAAGCTTTTGTAAAAACCCATTTGATATCAAAAGTCTCAATGTCGGCAGCAGCATTAAACTGAACCCAACTCATGTCAGCAGCGGAGCCGTTGTGACACTTCCCAGTAAATCAAAGAGCGAGGAATTGGTATGAAACAGCACGGCTGAGAGTGGCACATCCCGGGCTGCTGCACATCTGAAAACCTCCCACAGAAAAATAAATAACACTATTTTAAGCAGCAGGAAAGCATCACCACCTTGCGGGCTGGTCTCTGAAATGTAAACGTAGGGTTTCTCTCACAAGGCTGACATTCCAAACGGGAGTTAGGAAAGGAAAAAGTAACCTTTTTAGGGAAGAGAGAAAAGCAACATGGGCAGATGGACCCCACTGCCATGTGCAAAGCCGAGCCTGAGCAAGGAGAACCGCAGACCCACACCTGCCATTCAGGTTAGGTACAAATAACATACAGGGCACAAGTGCTCGAAGTGACAGCCACTCACCTGCACAGGGTCCAAAACCACCTCAGATAGCTGAAAACTGGCAATATTTTAGCTGATATATTCAGGAGGAAGAGGAAGGACTCAGAGAAGGACAGAAGAACAAGAATAAAGCTGCGTGACAGCGGGTATGATCTGGGAGTTCATCACTAGGAAAGGAAATCAAGCATTAGCAGGAACAGCACCAGCAGTGCTCTTGCGGAGCTCCAACAGACCAGTGCCTCTAATGAACCCCACTCTGCAGGGAAACACTGTTAACTGGTGGCTTCAGAATGAGTTTGTAAGTTTCTGTAACAAACCTCAACCTGACAGAACTGCAAAGATCTCAGAATCAAGGTATTTTCAAGTACTATGGATGAACTTCAACACCTGGTACCACACAAGTCACCAAACAAAGAATGTGACCCCTTGAGTTACTTAATTGTGGCTTACTAAGGTCAGCAGCGCCTCCTTCACCTGCTGATGGAAGGCTCCTGTGATGGAGCCAGCTCTGCAAGCAGTGAATGTGCTCTGCTGGCACGAGGACTGTGTGGAGGCAGCAGGTCCCTGAACCCACCTCAGTGCACTGCCCCTTAGTTCTGACTTTGGGGAAGAAACAGTAAATTCTTTTTAACACCCCCCACCCCCCCCCAACACTTACATTCATATTATGCTTCAGACTTCATGTAGCAGGTTTGGTAACTACCACTAGGTTGTGCTTTCAGTCCACATCAGCACACGGAGCTAACAACTACTGCTAGGCTACAGAGTCTGCTGGTTTGCTCCAGGAAGTAAACATTCATCCCTGCAGTGCTGCTGGGAAGCTTCCTGGTTCTCATGGCTACCTGCACTAGGTACAGCCCACTAAAACCACACAGGACTGCTTCCTCTGCAATGGAATATAAGGATATTCTACTCCAAAACCACACTGTACCAACCCAGCAAGAGACAACGCAGAACAGCAGTGCAGTGCAGCTTATGGACCTCCTCATTCCCTGGACAGGACTCGCTGGCCAAGAAGGGGACTTACCCACCCAATACTATCCATGGAAACATCAATGTGATGTTTTGTGCTTATTTAAGAGTTCAGTGTACCTGAATGTACATGGGTGAGAAGGGGGAGGGCAGGAGGTGGTCACTGGGGGTTGGTCACTTGGGAGCATTATTCTGGAGTACAGGGATGGGATGGTGGCAGCACAGCAGAACCCAGCGAGAGCGTTTGTTCCTCACTCAGACACATCCCTGCAGAACAGCTGCTCACAGCAAGTCCTCACACAAAGGACACAAAATGGATTTGTAAAATGCTGCAATACAACCCAAACAGGCCACAGGCAAGGCAGAACCGTCTGCACTTGGCCTGAACTCCAACTCCAATGTGTATTCATTCATTACCTGCAGCAGTGACTACAGCCAGCCTGAGGAATTCCTGTTTTCCAGTGCATTTACCAGGCATAACTGACAGAACTTTACACATCCTGCATTTATCACATGCTTTGTAAGCAGCTTTCTTTCAGAAGCCAAGGAAACAAAAAACTCCATTTACAAAGTAAAAGGCAGTCCAGCTTTAAAAGCACGGGTAGCAGGGGGTGCAGTCAATACTGCTGCCTGTACACTGCCCACATCCCTGTTTATACAGCCTTTTCAAAGGTTAGAAACACCAACTGCAAGAAGCACACGCCACCCGCAATTGTGTCTATGGCATCAGCAGGTTTCCCACATGCTCTTCTGCCTCATTTTGACACTTTTGCATTTGTTTCCTGGCTCATTCTGGAGCTTTCAAACCCCGATGTGTGACTGTTGATGTGAAGCAGTTCTGAAGCTCTCAAACTATTTATTGTTTCTACCTGGACCAAGTGAGACGGAGCTGCTGTTAAGGAAGGGGAAAATCAGCCATAACTAATTGCAAATAATGTTTCTAAGTCACTTGGAAACCTTTAAAGCTGTTTCTAACTCTGAGCAGGAGAGCTGTGTTATCATAAAGACATCTGCTTTAATAAGACAAAAACGGATCCTCTACTACCTGCTGAGCAGTGCTGCAGCCAGCAGGCAGGGATGCTGCCTGCACATCTTCTAGGCAGCTCTTGTGCTGCTGCTGCCTGGCAGAGACACAGCACTGGAACAATGACATGGCCGTGACCAGAACCAAATCCAGCCAGGGCACAAGAACCTGCTCAGAGAATCCACATGGCTTCAGACACAGCTCATACTCCTACCTTAAAATCGCACTTCAGCTGACAGAATGAAACGGGAGGTCACCAGATCATCTTCCTGTTTCTGTATACGAGGAACTGAGTTTTAAAAGGCACAAATGGCACCTCTGTGGGTGCTAAATTCCTGCACATTTCCTACTGTGTTTAGCTGCCATCCTCCTCTCACCAGCCCCCTCCAGAACATGTTTTGCTGGCAATGAGGTGATTATTTCTACTGCACCTTTCATCAAACACAGCTTAGGGTACTCCATGAGATTAACGTTAGAAATGCAGGTTTAGTCTGATGGGAAAAGCAGTTTCAGCACTCAACAGCCATTTGACAGAAACACCCATCAGATGTGGTTAGAGGGGCTGAAACAGGAACATCCAGATTGCTCCCTGTGGCTCTGAGAAGTCAGCATCACCTACACTCAGCCTGGGTGAGCCTGTCCTGAACTGATGTACTGAGGTCGCTGCCTGCCCTATACCCAATTACAGAGGCTGATGTGCAAAATACCTGTGGTTCAGGGCATGGTTTACACCAGGTAGTTAAACATCCACTCCTATGGACAGAAAACCTGCAAGACTCTCCTGCCTCATAAACACACTTCCCCCAGTAGCAGTAGCAAACAGGAAAAGGGCTCAGTGCCTTTGTCACCAAACAGATACTTATCAGGTAATTTCTCCTGACATGCACAACCACTGCTGCAGTCACTGTCAACACAATGAGCTGATAAACACAAAACCTAGATAGAAAATGGGAACAAATGATCCTAAAGGCAGTCTACTGATACGTTAAGCATGCACCTAATTCACAGGAGTGATGGAGCTGCCAGCTCTGAATCATGCAAATAAAAAAACCTCAGGTGTAGAGAAACGTGGGTAATCCTGCAGCAAATCTTCAGTTCCAGTCCACAGACTAAACCCAATGGTACATCCCTGACTGCAAATGGAGCCAAAGGAAGAAAAAACCCAACAACCTCAGTGTTAAAACCCCTTCAAACCACCAACCAGCCCATGGACGTAGGGAGAAGTTGGAAAACATTCAACGTAACCATTGGCTCTTTGGCAGTACGGGACTAAAACCACCCTCGTGAGGCGTAAACTCCAGACTCTGCTGCTGGGGCGAAGCTCTCAGTGCATTTCTAACTCACACGTTTAGAATTTCCACCTTCCCCTGACTCCACAAACACACAAATGTCCATCAAACACTGGTCCAGGGATGAGCTGGTATTGCAGCCCTAGGAATTAACACCAACTCTACTGTCCACAGTTCCCTTTTGCATTTTAGGTGCCTGCAAGTAGGACTGGGCGCAAAGGACGCTAGAACTCGAACTCCAAGACAATTACAGCCTCCTATGGCCACAGTATTCTTGAATCTCGATCCTGGCAATGTGCTCTATTTTCATGCACAGCTGCACATGTATAATGCATGTTCAGCACTTTGTCTTTCAACACCCTTAGCTCCAACTGTCAATTTAGTGCCAAGTTTCAGTGGGTCTGTCTCTCACGGAGCTGAACTGACTCAGAACTTTAAACGTGTCAGAAAATGCCACTTGTCAGAGCAGGCTGGAGAATCAGTCTCACGATAAACACCATCCCCAAGAATATTATGGCTTCAAAGAACCTCAAGAACTCGAGTCCCTGATGTCTGCAAAACGGAAAGGCCTTTGAACTGCACTCAGGTCAGTATTTGTACACCTACTGTGAATAAAAAATATAGAGTATTTATAAAATAAAGAGCAGGCCAAAGCTGATCGGCCACAATCACTCTATAAAAGTGTTCTGTTCACTCCGTAACTTAAAACTTAGAAAGCCTTGAGACATCTGGATGGCAGGATTCCTGGAGAAGCACTCTGGAATGCAGATTCCAATCGGATGATGCTCCATGATGTTTTCTCATCCTGAAGATCCACTTGTTTTCTGCCCCTCAGAACTGAAGTCCCGGCCAAGAGAAGGGATGCTGACTCCTGAGAGGGAAGCTGGAACATACATACAGAAAATGTGCAGCTGTAAGCGCTGACCCGATGGGCACTGGGAGATGTCTCATCTATACTGGGACATTTCCATGCCATGTGGAATGACAGGGAAACTGCTGGGGTTTCAGTGCCTCCACAGAATGGCACCATTCAATCCCCACTACCTACATTAAAAATACTTTGTTTTTTTTTCTCCCAGTGGAAGAAAATGGAATCACATCTACAATATGCAAGAAGCCCATTAGGAAAAATGTGGGGTTGCCCAATTGGTGTGCCGGGCTGGGCAGTGGAGTACAGCACACTGCCACACAGTGCAGTTATTCAACAGCCCCAGGAAGGAGACGGGAAGATTCCCTGACTGTTCCATCTCCTGCGAGCAGAGCAGCAGAGGAAACTCCCTGAACCTCCACTGGGACTGAAACTTCCAGTCACACCGCACCAGGAAAACATTTCCTGGAGAGTGAGGTGGACACAGCCTGTGGCTCACTGCCCAGCATGTGTGCAGGGCATCACCCCGCTGTTAGGAAAGCCAGGACCGATTACAGAGCAGTGAACACTCTGGTAGAGCATCTTTCCCAAACTGTGTCATCTGTTCCTGTACCAAAGCTTCTCCTCAGTGAATAAATAAATACATTAATTATAAGAGTAGCATTACAAGTTACTGCCATTTATTCCTAACTGTTGGCTGTTCACAGCTTCGGTTTCTTTCAGGACTGTATCTGCAACTTCCCACACTCTTCATGAATCACTGAACAGATTTCCAAGTGGCAAGAGTCGCTCCTGCCATGTTTACCAGAGCAGCTGCCAGGCTTGCATCCTCCCCTGCAAACAGAGCTGCTGGCTCTTGTGTTCACTGTGTCAACAGCCAGCACAGGCCTCCAGGAGAGACACTGTTTTCTTTCAGGTTCTCTTAGACAATGTATTTCTGGGACAAGCAGAAATACTGGTGCAGCAACACCATACTGGGGTGAGCAGCCTTCAGCATGCTCACAGGGGCTCTGCCAGTGCATTGTCTGGTATGCTGCAGTTAAAGAGTCAAACCCTGCCCAGCATCACCTGCCCATTCCCTGCAGAGCAGCTGTTTAAAGGTGATGAAGAAAGGAATACTGACCTTCCTGGACAAGCTTTATACTGCTGCATGTTCAGACTGCTATGTCTCCCTTTCTATGGCAAGGGAGGAAGCTTCACAAGAATCTATAGGACAGAAATCAAAGTAGAGGTAAGTAAATCTGTTTCCTCACTGAGAACATATTTTCCACCAAGTGTGGGAGTGTGTTTTTAAGCATTATTCCAAATAAAGACAACTGTTTGTCAGAGATATCTGAAGAGCAGTTGGTAAACGCAGATTACTCCATTACTGGCTTCACCTATTCATACCAAGCTTTAAAGCCACAAAGACAAGATCCTTCTGTTTTAATGGAACATTTCAGACCTTAAATAGGATGAGCATTAATAAATCTGAAAAATATCCAAATTACCATGAATGTGGAAGCAAATGTTTCCAGTCTCTGGCTAACAAATGGAACAAAAACCTCCCCACAATATTTTGCTCCTTACATGAAACGGTAAAAGCACAGAGAGATGTAACAGTAAAGAGTCATTGAACTAAGCTTGGCTCCACCTAACAAAAATCATCAGTGAATGGATATACATAGAAAGGCTTTTTTCTAACAGGACATGCCCCATGGCATAAAAGGTGTGTTTTACATTTCAGAAGCTAATCAAACCTAATGTACAAACATGCTGGTTCACCTGGAATTGCTCACAGCACAGCAATTCTTCTATGGAAGGAAGGAGGGGTCATTTCTAGTCAGTGTTTCTTGGTCAAGTTAGAGCTGATTAAGCCAGCACAAGTTTTTGATTAGCTCTTGTAATGCATGCATTTGTCACTGCAGGTCGAGATATAACCAACTCCCTTCACTGGTACCTTACCATGAGGCTCTTCATCCATTCCATCATCTTCCCACTGCTCTTCATTTGCTAGGAGAGGATTCTGAGCTTCACACAAAGCTCTCATGGGGAAAAAATGCCCGTCGCCCTGGCTGCATGCAAAAGGCAGAGGAAGACACTGTGAAAAGCGGCCAGGGGCTCTGAGGGATGACAATGTCTACACATCTTATCTCAGTCAGTGTTTTCTGTCACCTCTATTTCCCATGTTTACTTAAAATGAAGTTTTGACCAGTGCTGGGTTTCTATTTTGTGGCAGCTCAGATACCAAGGTTTACTGGTGAGGAGTTGTGGCCCTCAATTCCTTCAGGCTCTCTGGAGAATAGAAGTTCAAACCAATAGCCTGGAATTAAGTTTCAGCAGAACTTAAATGTGCCCAACTTGATCCAGTCATTTGGATACAGGGAAAAAAGTAGTGAGGGGGGAACTAAGGAAAGCATTTATGTGGAAGGAGCAATTTAAGGTATAAATCCTAAGTTATTAATCTTACCGATTTATACCATAGACTCTTGAGGGCAGAAACTGCACTCTGTGTTTGAATGACACCCAATGTCCCCAGTCTTAGTTAGATGTTACTGAACAACAAAAGAGCCACTTCCCTCTGACTTAAACTGTACACTCTGCCAAACAGAAACGTGTATCCGGCTATCAAACAAGAGTCTGAGAGCATGTTCAAATGCACAATAACAAGTAACAAAGTTCAACCCCAGCTGTTGGTGCTTGATGTGTGCCCACTGCGTTCCCTAACACCCTGCAGCACAGACAGAGGAACTCTGAACAAAGTGAAGGGCCTTTTTCCTCTGATGCTTTAAGTGTTCCTCCTGTGATGACTACGCACACTGTAACGTGCTTCTGAAAGTACTTGAGCGCTGCCTCTCATGAACAGAAAGGATTTTGTGCTGATTCTTTCCCCTTAACTACACTTAAAAGTGGAAAACAGGCAGCAGTGAACATTTAGAACTCGGCATTAGCTTGATCATTACTTACCTAGAGGCAATCGGTAGCAACCAGAGCTTCTTTTCTTCTCCAAACACTTGCTGAAGGTTCTTTACGAAGCCAAGATTGAACCCATTTTTATCTGGGCCGTTTTGAAACACAGGAGCTGAGAAAGCCTCTGCACACAGACACAGTTATCAGTGAAAACAACAAAACTCAGTGGCAAACACTGTGAAACAGGATTGTGCATGCCATAGCCATGTACAGACAACATGGTCTAACAGGTTATGAACTAGCACGACAAAGATACAAAGTTTGACAATAACCCTTCTTCATTTTGCAAGTCTACGAAGACTTTCACACTGAAGGGACGAGTTTGGTCTTGCAACTGAGCCACATGGAACAGCCAAACCGACCCACAGTGTGTTTAACCCAGGGAGCAGTGGTAAAAATGAGCTCCAGTCACCTCACAGCGAACGCAGTTGTACAAATGCATAACCTTGTTATAATTAGACTTTACATTGAAGGCTGTCATTTCCCTAAGGAAGCCTTTATCACACCACCTATGAACCACCTCACTTGAAGTGACAAATTTCTGTAGCATTCTGCCAAGATCTCAAATCTTCCTCCCCTCAAAACCAATGGGACTTTTGGTGTGTCTGACTTCAGAAAGTAAGACCCAAGAGCCTTACCTAGTGTGGATCTGTTTCTACTAACGAGCCAGCAGTGGTAGCCAAACAGAAACATAAGGCTTACGAAGAACATGACCGCCACAAAGAGAAGGAAAAGGACGTGAAATTTGGAACGTCCATTAGTCAGCTCACCCTGGAAAGAAAAACAACAAGTGGCAGGAACAAATAAAAGCTGGAGAGTCTTAGTTCCTAGAGAGAATGAGATCCTCTAAAAGTCCTGTGTGGAGTTCTCAAACTTGTATGCACAGATGTCACACCTTACAGAGGAAAGCCAGAAGAGACAAAGAAATGATCTGGCTCATTTCCCCTCCTGTAGCCAAAGCAGTGCGGTTTTTGCGTGACTACCCAGTAAAGCAACAGAATATTAATCAGCTAATGCACAGCAAAGTTACTTCAGCACAGTCACACAGAGGACACAAAAAACTACAGCCCAAAGGCCACACTCTTATTGGGGCTGTCTGCTGACACTGCTTGTGTACGAACAATAATGGGTAACTGAATGAGAAGTGTGCTTCATTTCAGTCGACTTTTAAATTGAGAAAGGAGTCATACAGGGATTAGGAAATGAACAAGGTGTTTTGATATTATTCAGGGAATATGCACAGATCAGTGCCAGGATGTTTTGCTTGGATACCAAAGACTCAGAGATCCATCCATGCAAATGCAAGTAGAGGAAAAGGGTGTCAACTTCCTGGCTAGAGCTAACTCTAAAACCTGAAACTCCTGAAGTCTATTTGCTTTTCACTTTGTGCATTTCACACATACAATGGGAGTTAAACTCAAAAAAGGGCCCTGGAAAATGCCTTAGAGAATAAATAACCTCCACAAACTGACACCAAAAAGGTAGCAAGAACGACTAAACCCCACAAGATGCACCGAATACAAAAAAGTAACCGAAGTTTGTGACTTACTGTCCAGTACTTAATGAAATACTTGAAGACTGTGGCAGCAATATACAAGCAATACAACAAAGAGTAGGCTAAGAAGAGTAGAAAGAATTTGTAGTTAGAAAATCCAATGCAGTTATTCACCCTAGAGAACAAAAGCAAAGTTGCAATCAGGATACGTACAGCACACACTTGTAACACAATTTGGGGGGGTTGGTTATCAAAGCCTCTTATTCACACAACACAATCTCATCACTGAAGAGCTCCCCTTAGTGGTCACTGTGCAACAGAACCGAAGTCTCTGCTTCCCACTTGCAGACTTCTTGCTGTGCCAAGGAAAAAGCACAGTTTGTGTTTTGGAATTGTTCTGAAGTTGGTGCCACCGGTAAATCTGTCACAGAGGCAGCTCCAGTTACTCACGGCTGTTTCTTGTCTGCAAGGTTAATCAGATCTGGGGGTTTCTCTGTTACTTCATTCATCTGCAAATCTCAGCAGTCAGATTCCCCACTGCTGATTTGCTCACACACAGAGCAACCAACCCCACGTTTGATTTATGCTTCTCCATGCACAGGATAACTCCCCAAGCCAACAAGGGAATGCAGGAAGTAATAGCAGGTGTTTGTCTCAAAACCTGGATTTGAAAGCCCCTCTGCAATTGAGGATGCTCAGGGAGGTTGAGGGGGGACTGGTTTTGTATGGCTTCTGATTTCTGAAATCTTCCTCCCCAAAGAAAGGGAGAGGTTTAAGAAATCTAGCGGCAGGGATTCTCCAAAGTATAAAGCTTCATTGACCCGTGCACCGTTCTACACACGCTGTCTCTGAACACGCATGGGTGCAGGCAGCAAACGGTATTGCTGAAAGCAACCACCAACTGCATGCTGAAACCATTACAGACCGAAAGTCAAAAGCTATACTGAAGTCCCTTTAAAATGGGAATAACAGTGAAAGAGTGGATTAGCAGTTGGGTTTTAAATTCTGTCAACATAGCAGTGTTTGTTCACACATGGAAGAACCACGAATGATTTGGCTTTCAGAATATCAAACACTTTCAGGCTATTTCAGAGTGCAGCTATTTTCTAACTTTCCCAGCATCAAGAGGTGCATGGTCTGAAGTGAAAGGGGCACAAAGACACTATTCTCTGGAAGAAATACGTTAAAACAGCCTCTCTTTTCAGCAAACAACAAGCCAGTATCCAGGACATACCATGGGCAGTGATGATCCATTTTTAGCACACATCTGCAAAGGGATAAAAAAGAAAAATTGAAGGTTTTTGTGTGGTACTTCAGTGCCAACTGCAGATCAACTGTGAAAGCCTCAGGTTCTTGAGATTCCTACATGACACAAACTCAGGGTGATGCAGTCTCTGGGCATTTTTTAAGGTAGGTATCATTTTAAAATGGAATATTTATTACTTTCTCAAGATCAACCAATGTCCTTGGGACTCTGCAAGATAATACAACATGAAAATGATTTCTGCTGTGTAAGGCCTATAATCTTCAGAAAACACCACAGGTAAAGGTCTGGAATATTAAAAAAAATTAAATATATATATTAAAAAAAGTCAGATCATACTTTATTTTAACCTGCCCAGGTTAATCAGTGGATTTTCATTTACTGGCATTGCTTTCTAGCAATTTAACACTGATGCACTCACGAAGTGTGGGAACTGCAAACACTTCAGGGCCACAGACAGAAATGTCATTGCTAGTGCTGTCACACACTGTCACTGCTCTGCAGACTGCAGCTGGCCCAGAGGTACAAGGGTACTTGTATGTGTAGAGGCCCAGCCCGTTCACATAACTTAGTGCTGACTATTCGCTTCCGTGACAAACCACCCAGTAACTCACATGGCACAAACAGTACAGTGGTGACAACGATCAGGCTTTATCAGCTGGCACCGATCACAGAACCGAATACCTGAAATTAGAAACGTATTAATACCGAGTAACAGAGCTGTTCTTTTCCCACATTAGTTAATATTCCCCTCATTTCCTAACCATTCATATTCTTTCCTCTATCATTTCAAAAGATCAGCGCATTTGCAGCTGATTTGTGCTGCCAGGCTGCAATCAGAGAAGCAAAGCTCGTAATTCTTCTGGAGGCCTGCAAATGTGAAGAACAATCCTCACTGCAAAGCATACAACAGGTTCAAAGTGATAAAGCAGAACTGTACACTTCTCTCTGGCTTCCACATGTACTAAGACTTTACTACTTCCATTTGGATAACTGCCTGTACAGCAGTTCTTTACTTCAAAATTCTTTGGCTTGGCAACAGAAATGAATAGGGCAGCACCTCCAATAGGAACACAGGTTTCTGTTAAGCTTTGAAAGGAGCACAGTGTGCATTTAATCACCCAACAGGACCCAGAAATCTGCCCACAGAATTCTGTCCTGCAGCCCTTACCTGGACTCCACTGCAAGGAAAAACAATTGCCAATTTAGTCACTGTATTACTAAAGGCAGACAACACACGTAGGCGTTTGAATGGTAAATACCAAGGGGAACACATTGCTTCTCCAAGGCAGCACTTGGTGCTCCACTGCGCATGAACGGAAGCATTCAGGGCTTTTTGTTTTCCCAAACATAAAACCTGAGAGAAAAGGCTTTACAATTATTTACCCAAGAGTTACTCAGCACATGCAGCGGTGTCAGGAACACCCTGTATGTCAGCAGTGTCATGTGCACTGCCAGCGCAGGCCGCTGCAGCCTGCGTGATCAGAGAACAGAGCCGCTGCTCCGCTCACCTCCGCTCCCCGTCCTCGTGTACACCGGCAGCTTCCTCGCGATTTCAGCCAGAATCTGCCTCTGCACCTCCGGCCTTTCTTCATTTTCGTAACGCTCTTGGTCAGCGTAGGACATGTGGTACTGGAAGGAGGAATGAGAGGAGCAGTTACCCATGGGCAGCAGAGACAGGGTTTCAAACACAGGCGGATTTGGCAACATTTTCCCTCCCACTCCTCCTAATGAGGTTAATCTAATGTGAAAAGGTTTTCAAGAAGATGAAGAGACAGTTAAGTGCTGGACAGCCAGAATACGATGTGATGCATCAGTAAGAAACAGGAAAGGGAAATTAAGCATCACCAAACAACATACTAGAAGTGCTACTACCGCTGCCTTAGGTTACTATTTCTCATGAAGAACACTGCTAACCATGACAAGGTCACTTCAGGGACCTCCCTTGTGAGCAAGCACCTGCCTCCAGCCATAATTCTGTACTTCTAAAACTGGGATTACTTGTTTTGTCTAAATTTACATTCCTGTAATTAAGATGCGATTACAGGCAAGTATATCTGGAGTGCCGCACAAACACCAGCTCCACTGCTCCAACACAGTGTTCTATCAGCATTTCAGAGGGAGGTAAAACTAAATGCAAAAAAATCCACCAATCTCAACATGAAAAAGTAACTATTCAGTAGAAAAAGAACTGAAACAAACGTCTGCCTGTGCTCAAACCACTAACTCATGCTCTTGTCCTAAAATAAGCCACCTGTGTTAGAAAACAACAGCAAACCCTTCACTACACTATTAATCATTAAACACTCTGAACACCATGAAGAGTGACAACCGAACTGAAGGTCCTTACTCAGGAGCTGCAGTAAGACCAGCTGAGGGAAGGTGCTCAGGATTTGGCTTGCAACTTGGTAAATGCTTAGAGATCAATGACTATAAATATGTAAGTTAAATCATCATCAATCCTCTTATTCTCAACATGAAAACTCCTACCAGCTCCTGAAACACCTGGAAAGGCAGCTTTAGAAGCCAACACTGTCCCTGTGTCCTGGGTTCCGCAGTAGCAGTCATGTTTTTCCTTTGTGTTAACTGGTACAGTGCTGTGTTTTGACTTCCAGTTTGAGAACAGTGTTGGTGAAGCCGATGTTCTCGGTTGTTGCTAAATGATGTTTACCCTGACCAAGGACTCTGTGAGGCTCATGCTCTGCCAGGGAGGAGGGGAGGCTGTGAGGAAGCAGAGACGGGGCGCCTGACCCGGGCTAGCCGGGGAGGTATTCCATACCACAGCACGTCATGCCCGGGGTGGGGGGTAACTGGGAGTTACCCGGAAGGACAGGGGCTTCCGGGTGGAGCTCGTTTCTCTTGGCTGGTGGTATCGTATTCTCTTCCCTTGTTATTTTCCCTTATCATTGTTGTAGCTGATAGTAGCGGTGGTGATTTGTTGCTGGACTGTTTTTGTCTCAACCCGTAGGAGTTGCACTCTCTCGATCCTCCTCCCCGTTCCTCCGGGAGCGGGGAAGGGGAGAGCCCCGGGGGGGGGAGACGGACACGGACCTCGATTGTTGTCAGCTCGGCACCACTCACTGGGAGTGAGTGAACAAGCTACCTGACTGGGTTTAAACCACGACACCCTGATTTAAATCACGCTCTTCGGGGCATTACAGGATTCTCAGAACAGTAAGTTACTCAGTTTTATGGACAACTCCAGGTCACTTTCCATCTCTTTAGGAAATCCAACCAGTTGTTCAGATCAACTAGAACAACTGCTTCATTCTGCAGTGAATGACAAGTGCTTGGGCTCTTACCTTTTTACCTGGCTGCACCGGGAGAGTAAAAATAGACTTCCAGTATGTCCACACAAAGAGCACAAAGAGAATATGGAATATTATAAGATAGGCCACTAAAAAGAAACAAAAACAAAACAAACAACAAACAAAACAAAAACAGAAACAGAACAATGATTTCTTAAGCAAAAGTTTCATTCATGATGGGCATCATTCCAATCTTTCACAACAGTGACCAAAAAATATAGAAGTTCTACAGCACTGACCAGTACTAGAACAGAGCTAAACCCTGTGGTGATGGGGCCAGTGGCATTTCAGAGCTCTGTGGCTGCAGTTAGGGGTCACCTACCTCACAAGCCTTCCCCTTCTCCACCTGATCTGAGTCCATGGGTAAGAATACAGCTGTAAGAGACTTCACTGGGAAAGACAGGATTCCTGCCTCCCAGGCACAAGCAAAGCCAAACTGGCTGCTGCTGAGTAGCATACAGGTTAATACTGCTATACTCCAGCATCTCTAAATTTGGGGTTCAGTTGCTACTAAATGCACCTACAAGCACAGTTCTGTATCATTAGGGTATTGTCCACTCGTGCAGTGTATTCTTCACTACTTGAGAGCTGAGAAACGCTCCAGGACAGCTTTACATCACCAGAAAAATAATCACATCTCTTCTTAATCATCTTTTAGATTTACCACAGTCGATACCATAAACCAAATCAGGAAAACATCCCTCAAATTGAGCCAAATGGGTCTTGTGACTACTGAGGAAGAGCTGTAATCCATCAGACACAAGATTATCACATGAAACCCAGCGTGCATCAGAGTCATCTCATTTCAAAGTGCAGACTTTATTTCAAAGCCTTTGGCCATAAGCAGGCATACTGAAGTTTAGAAAGCCAAAGGACAGCAATCCTACAGCCACACAGACCATGTGATTATTCTCTCTTTAATACCCAACTCACTAAGACATTATCAAACAGCTACCACAGTTTTATTCAAACACCATTTAATGGCAATAACAACACAGTTCCCCACCCATTTCATTTAAGTTTCAAATTCTAGAAATGAAGATTAAAGTAACTACTACTAGTGGGAAGAGAAGTCTAAAATCCAAGCAACTTCTCAGGCAAGAGTGCCTGTGTGAAATGTAACTGGTAAGCTTTGAGACCTTTGAGAGAGATAGACGATGATCTGATATGCCTCAAGAAATGCAAGGGGTTGTGTGAACGACTTGTGATTCAATGGTAGTTCATTAGTGCGATCTCAAGTTTGAGATGCTATCCCTATCCCACATGTAGGTGGAGCTCAGTCATTCCTAAATCAATATGCAAGGAGATAAATCCTGCAAAAGGTTTAATTTTGTTCATAAAGCAACACAGCAGCATGTTAGAGGAAGCTGACCTGGAGATGCACTGATAGATTAGGCAGCTAATAACTTCCTTCTGCTGAGCAATCATTAATAGCATGCTTCCTACAGTTCCTCTGTAGCAGTTTCAACTATTAGGACAGCTCTATAGTGGAAAGAGAATTTACCTGACGCAGCAATGCGGCATTGCTGGTGGTGCATGGGTGTACACAGACATACACAGCTTTTCCTGAAAAAGGGATCAAGGCCTTTTTGAGTTCTTCTCTTATACCGAGACTAAACTGGGGCATTTCAAATACACCCAGAAGTTACAGCATGTCTGACAGTGCATGCTGTGTGCTGCATGAGTGTGAAATTACAGGAAGGAAACACTGAAAGGGTATGTAGGTATAAAAAAAAATTGACAGAAAGTGCTTTTGCTGTTTTACCTGGAACATTTGTGAATCTTTTTATACAAGCACTGAATGTCAGCAGTAAACTGAATACACATACCTTTTTCTACTGGGTTGCTCAGAGTCACTGTAAGAGAAAAAAAACACATGTAAACAGAGCAAAGAGGATTCCCACAAAAGCCTGTGACAAGTAAATAACATTTCTATCTGAAATACAGCCACTTCGAGGAACAAACCCTTCAAATTCAACAGACAAGAAGAAAGCCCAAAGTTTAGCACCAAATAAAAAGCATCTGTTACAATTCCTCTGCCCATGCAAATGACACCCACAAGATGTTCCATAACTGCTGCTTATGATGTATTTTGCCTTGTTACAAAATAGATTTTCTTCTATTTGTACACTGGAAATAAGACAAAGACAATCCACTGTGGCACCATTACCCGGGCTCCTCTAGCAACTGTCTCTGTGCATGTACTTACAAGCACATACCTGTAGCTTGATCCTCCGCAGCAGCAGTGCCCTGATGCATTTCTGCATCAGCATAAATTACAAAGGCTCTTAGTCAGCAACAAAGGATCCACTCTAATAACTCCATTAGTTTTACACTTCCTACTAATGGAGTTTTTACAACCCCTCCCAACTTTACCGTAATCATAGGAACAGTCCCTACTAACAGAACCACTTAGAGCAACCCCAAAGGATACATTGCTCAGCTTGCTGCTACTGATTATTTTAAAAGCCACCCCTTGTTCTAAAAGCCATCATGTGAGTTTAACTGACAACAAAAAGACATCTTGAACTGAAAATGGAGCAGTTCTGTGGTTTCTTGACAGAATACTGCTTGGAAGACAAAGACTGTTCTCAGGATGGGAGCCCCTTATATCAAGCCTTGAATGTAACGGTTGTAACTGAACCAGAGGCAGAGTCATCTGACAAAAATAAGACTTAAAAGATGTGTGAGACTGCACACAGCAGTGGTGACCCCACCAGCAGCTCTGCGAGGCTGCACAGCCTTTCACTTCCAGTGTACAGCCAGTGCCTGGCAGGAGACTTTGTTCTTCAAGACTCTATCGCCTTACTTGAACAACAAGCTTGGAAAATGTAAATCAGAGCAGGACCCAAGCAGCCCTGCTCTTGCTAATGAAACTAGCTTTTCTTTTAACCCTGCTAACAAACCGTTTTGCTCTGCGACCTCTATGATACACAACAATGCATGTGAAAAGAGAGACCAAATATCTGCCATGTCTCTGCACGCTCAACTTCAGATGGAGGCTGTTAGGAAGCATTTAGATTTCCTTCGGTTTGCTGCAAATCAAACTGTGAAGAGTACAACAACTCTTCACAAACATTGCCCGGTCCCCTCCTGAAGTACATGTCACCCTTGCAGCATGGCCTTTCCAAGGATTTTACATGAGGAAAGAGCAAACCCCTAAACAGAGAGTATACAAAAGGTTTTACTGCAGGACTCTGGGTCATGGTTTCTCACTGTGGCAGCAACCACCAACCAGATGTAAAATCACAGCCTCCTCTGGAGTGTCGCTTGCTGACCATACCACTCAAAGTTCAAACCCCACTATCTCCAGGACCTCACTTCCACAGTACTCTCAGGCCTCAGCAGCCTGCACAACTGAAGATGAAAATCAAGAATCCAAACACAATCTATTTACACCCTTGCAACAGGAATATGCAATGAACCGGCAAAACACAATAGAAACCTGTAACAAAGGAAGCCAATACAAGGAAGCCTTCCCATGCTAGAAATGTGAAAGAGAGAGAATGTCCTCAGAGATAGTTTTCAAGTAACTGTGCGGGGACAGTGTTCCCTCAGGAGAATGGATAACTGGTACATAAACTCTGAAAATCCTGAAAGATGCAGCAAGGCCATGAGAGGCCCGAGGAAGCCTAAACAAGCAAGATAAGAAGCAGCTGGATTTCACCAAGTTAATGAGAACTGTGGACTGTTGGCAAGCTGTTGAGGTCAAGTTCCCACACCTGTGCTTAACCAATTATATGCTAGTTGCAAAGGGTCTTCAGGCCTTCTTTGGCATCATAATATGCCAAATCACTGTAAGTGCGTGTAAGAAATAGCATTTAAGGGGTTACGGCTTTGTAATAAACGGCTTTTGTCTGATCATATTGATCTCTGAGTCCATATAACTGCATATGCCAAGAGTTACTGTTCAAAGCCTAAAATAACGTCGTCATTTCACTTCTGTGCAGAAAACCTCCTCCAGACGCAAAGAAAATGCACGAGAGAGGAAGATGGGGCAAAGAAACAGACGGGTGTGGGCAAGAGAGTGATTCTGAGCTGTGATTCCAGGCAGGGAGATGAGCTCCTGCCAGCTCAAGCAGCGCTTACAGAACAACACAGGCCCAAACCACACGCTCAGCTGAGTCTTTTCTGAGAGGTACACTGAGACTTGGAGTTAGCAGGTGTTAAATGTTACTGCACTCGCACAGCACTGCAAACAGAGCACAAAAGACTGGCAGCAGCTCAGGAACATACCCTCTTTTTCTGTCACATGTTCTGACAGCTACGTGCACCTTGGAGTTATCATTACATGTGAATTACTGGAAGAAACCACCCAAGTTCATGCAGATGAGAGCTCAAGTCCAAAGTCAAGCCAGGAAACCAACGTGAGCTGCAGAACAGCCCTGCTGCAGCTCTGGCACTGGCGAGCATGGGAGGGGTGTGGGTGGTGCCCACAGGTGCAGCCAGTGAGGGCCACCGAGGCTAATTAAGGCTAATTAATGCAGATCAGCCCCATGTGTGAGGTGAGCAGCCTTGGGACCAACAGCCAGAGCTCAGCACCACCTACCCGGGAAATGGGCAAGGAAAAGGGATTTTAAATTGAGACTAAAAGCCCAGATGATGGTTAAGGGCCCTTTCAACCCAAGCCACTCTGTGATCCCATAACACAGCTCACAACCTCAGAGATGGAATAAAATGTCATGAAGTATTTGGGAGGTTTGCCTAGCTGCCAATTGAAACAGATCAAAGAAGATGCACTGCATTTTAGTCCCCATTAAGAAACAACAGGTCTCACTGCACTGGCAACCCTAACAAAGTCTGATTTAAAGTTGCTGTGCAGCACCAGAGACCAGCTCTTTCATAGCAACCTCTCAAACTGCCTGGAGAACTCTGTCTTCCTGTCTCTAGCTTACCTTGTCCTGAGGAGGAAGAGCACCACGCTCCTCCTCACCACTGCAAAAGTCCAAGCTACCAGCAGCTGTCCTCTTCACCTCCACCAGACCTTGCAGCCCTTTATTCTAGTAACAGGTTTCTGCACGCACATTACCCCAGAATATGACAAACACAAGAAAGTTTGTCCTTGCTATACAGTTAAATTGTTCAACTGTGCAATTGCTAGCCTGTACCAAAACCTTCCCTTCTAAAGTTCAGTGGTTTTCACGCTGCTGTACGAGGTTCTTTGACTCGGGACTGTGATTTAGCACAGCCTCTTTATTTCCTTTTCCGAACATGACAAAGTGACTTCAGCTCCGGGAATACACTGATTTTTGTTACTGATTAAACCAAAAATCGCATCACGTGGCAACAACAGGGACGGTGAGTGTGGTATAAGCCTCCCAGTCTTCACGAACGTCACTTCCCCCGGCTGACATGAGAACACACAATACATGGACTCATGACTAAGGAACCCACAGACCTGTCCAGCCCTGCCAGGATACAAATCCTATGGAAAGCCAAGGCAGCACACTACAGAAACCCCACTAAGTAATCCCACAATGGCCTTGACCTGTACCAGCGTGTTTCCTCCCACCCACGCCATCACCTCATTACCACCCAACCAGGGTCACGTATAATAGAATCCCAGCCTGGTTTGTGTTGGCAGGGACCTTAAAGCTCATCCAGTTCCAACCCCTGCCACGGGCAGGGACCCCTTCCTAGTGCTCCAAGCCCCTGTGTCCAGCCTGGCCTTGGTGTATCTTAGCGCGGACACTGCTCCCACCTCCGGACACTCGCCCTTACCACAGGCCAGGGGCAGCGGGGCTCTGTCGTGCTCCGGACCCGCTTCAGCACCGTCCGGCCCCGGGGAAGGACAGGGCCCCGCTGCCCCCGGCCCCATCCCGGCCTCACGCACGCACGCACCCTCCCCGTCCCGCCGAGCGCTCACCCAGGCACAGCTCGCAGACATAGGCGTAATAGGACCAGAGCACGACGAGGGCGATGATGAGGACGGGCAGCCAGGCGAAGGCGCGCTGGCAGCACCGCAGCCCCCGCGACACAGCCATCTTCCACCGCGGCGGGGCCGCATCGGCCGTCGGCGGCTCGGGCTGAGCGGGGAGCGGGACGCTCGGCGCTCGGTTGAGCAGCCTGGAGGCCAGCGGTGGCGCTGGATTGGGTGCGGCGCGGCGCTTCGGCGCCCCCTGGCGGGGCGAGGAGGGGCAGTGCCTCCCGGTTGAAGTTGATGTGCGCGGTGTGCGGTGCTCGGAGTTCCGTGGCACACCGCGGTAAGGTGCTCCCTTCCCAGCTGGAAACCCACCGGCCCTTCCTTCCACAGTAGCAACCCTGTGGTGTTTCACGTGTCTGATGGCTCTGATGTCCTTCCTCTGACTGCTGAATCTTTGATCATCATCATCGGATCCCAGGTTGGAGGGACCCCAACGATCATCTGCTCCAACCTCTCTCGGCAGAGCATGAGATCTGTCCCTGTTCGTGGGCAGGGGATTTGGAACTAGATGATCTTAAAGTCCTTTTCAACCCAAACCACTCTATGGTTCTATGATCTAGACTAAATGTCCCAGCACCATGTCTCTCTACAGCTACCTGAAAGGAAGATGGAGCAAAGAGGTGGCTGGTCTCTTCTCCCAAGTAACAAATGATAGGACAAGAGGAAACGGCCTCAAGCTGCACCAGGGGAGGTTTAGATTGGATATTTGGACAAATTTCTTCACCAAGAGAATAATCAGGCATTGGAACAGGCTGCCCAGCGCAGTGGTGGAATCACCACTCCTGGAAGTGTTCACACACTGTATAGATGATATGGTTTAGTGGTGGCCTTGGCAGTGCTGAGAGAATGGTTGGACTTGATCATAAAGGTCTGTTCCAACCTGGCTGATTCTGTGGTTCTGTGTCCAGCTGCATCTTAAAAGTGTCCAACGTTGGGGAACCCACCAATACCCTGGGGAGATTATTCCAATGAATATTTGTTCTCATTGTGGACAATTCTCCTCTGTGTCCAGTCAGAATCTCCCCAGGAGTAACTTGCACCCATCACCCCTCATCTTTTCCATGTGAATCACTGTAAAAAAGAGTCTCCATCTTTGCAGCCACCCTTTGAAATCTGGAACATGGGGATAAGGTCTTCCCTGAGCCTTCTTTTCTTCTGGCTGAACAAGCCCAGCTCTATCTCAGCCTTTCCTCACACAATGGCCTTCTCAGTCCTTGGATCATCTTTGTGGTCCTTCTCTGCACCTTCTCCAGCCTCTTCACATCTTTTTTGCACAGTAGGGACCGAAACTAAACACAGTATTCCAGGTGTGGCCAGAGAAGGACCAAGTGGGATGATGATTTCTTTATCTCTGCTGGTGATGCCCTTGATGATCCCCAGCAACCTGTTGGCTTTCTTTCCTGCAGCAGCTCCCTGCTCTCTCCTATTGAGCTTGTGTCCACCAGGACCCCAGGTGCCCCTCCACGGAGCTGCTCTCAGCTGGGTAGATCCCAGCCTGGGCTGTACTATTAGATTATGTGTGCAGGACCTGACACTTACTACATTTTGTACCAAAAGCTCTTTTTATCAGTAATCATCCAATTTTGTACCTTGTTCTGTAAAGCTTATCTTGCTTCTCCTGGAGGATGATCCTGTCCTTCTGTTCTACCAGCTTCGTGTTGCTCTCAAAGTTCCTAAGCATAAACCTTGGTTACTAGTGATGCACATGGGAAGATCAGACTCGACAATCTGTGAAAGGAAAGGAGCATCCCCTCCAACAACCCAGTAACATAGCAGTTAATGTAAAAAAGGAAGAAAAAAGACCATGCCACCCACCCAGTCTGCTCCACAACCCCCTTGGAATTCCTGTAGGAATCCCCCTCATTTCCACATTCAGTGATATGTTTTGAGTTAAGGCTTCAGTTAATTAAATCCACTACATTGCCTCTGTTAAGGAAATTAGTTTTCTAATCAAGAGAGTGTCTTATCTAACAGATTGCACTTGTGATAAAGCCCTGGTGTAATTCACCACTTTCAGTCACCCCCTTTGTTCATCAGGTTTTTTCCCCTCAGAAAACTTCCCTCATTGTTGGTATCAAACTTGCAGGCTGTGCTGCCTCTAGCAACCTTCTCTTTGAGGACAGGTACCACATTTGCCATTCTCCTCCTCAGACCGCACTTACTAATTCCATATTCAGTTCTTTCAATACTTTAAGTGGAGATGATCTCCAACTCCTGATTTGTTCAGTAATGAGGTGATGTATCTTAACCTCTCCTCTGCCCTGCCCACAGTTTATATGGTCACTATTCTCTCCTTTGGGCTACTAAACTTCTTTAATACAAACCCTCAACTTTTTGGCACTTGTTTTAGTTTTCTGTGTGTGGGACAGTTTAACCATATGCTGGCCTGAGCTGTGTGTAACCCTAAACATGAAACCTCAGACAGCAAATTAGATTGTGAAATCCACAGTCTACATACATATAATTCACAGGCTTTATATATATATATTTGCCAGAAAGAGATATGCTCCCTCTGGGGCACTGAGGGAGAGGATTCAGGACACGTACACTCAATACTTTGAGGCTTTGGAAGAGCAAGGATTCCTGCTTGCTTTCTCCTCCTTCCCACACTGCATAGACCTGGGAAACCAACATTTTTACCTGCAGTATGTTATGTTTTACAAACATCACTACAGGAACCAAGTCAGAGAATCTCCTCTTCCAGAACCTCAGATCTGCTCATCGTATAGATGGGATGTGGCACATCCATGATGCACAGTTCCTGTGTGTGTGTATATAAAGCTGGAAGGCAACCTCCCTGTCAGGCAGCCATGGAGCGCCGCAGAAGTGAGCAGCTGTTTTCACATAATGCCTCTGTCAATAAAGTTAAGACGTTTTTGTTCAACAGCCAGTTTAATGTGTTCAAAGATCCACATGGATTATCTTCAAACCTCTTTTGTTTCATGGGCTTCCAGGGGAGACTTAGTCATATAAACATGAGCTCATCTGAGGTAAGAGATTCCCAAGTACAGCTCTTTAAAACAACAAGAATCATGCAACCTTGAAATCTTGTGATTCTTATAGGGTATTTTTTGCACTTGTGGTTCAAGTGTGAGCTCCCCATTTGAAACTGCCAGCTGGAGTCAGAACTGGTATAAAGCACCTTGTGCCCTTTTCAGACATCAGCACTACAGATGTTATTCCAAAGAAATGTTGAATCTAAAGTTGAACTTGAGCCCATTCTACAAAGTGAAGTTCTCTCTGGATGTGCAGCCTCACTGGGATCCACAGCAACGACAGCAGTTGCAAGTAGCCTGATTCAAGAGGGTGGTTTAGGAAGCAGTGGGATTATCCTAAGTGATATCTGTACCTTGGAGTTTCATTCTGCCATTTGCAGTTTCCTGCTAATGCACATCACACACAACTCTTGAAACAAAGCAGCAAACTTCAGCAGAGTTCAGAAAGCTGCGATTTCACCCATACATGGGACCAGACTGTTTAAAAGGACTAAGGCTGCAGCTCTAAGGAAGGCAAGTAAGAAAACCAAGCACTTGCAGCTTCAGGGTGATTTAAACAAGGCTCATGCTCATAGGCTTTTTATCAAAGCCCAACTCTTTGGATGCTCAGAGAGAAGAAGATGGTGGTGGCTTCCAGTGCCACAGAGACTGGGCATCAAGAAGCACATCATACTAAGAGCTGTAGTCTGAAGACTAGAGTAAGACTGACACCAGCTAAGGTGGCACTGGCTCACTGGACCAAAGAAATAGCTAAAAAGCATCAGGAAACAAGATAAACTCAGGAAACAAATGCCAGTTTTGACACTTTACCTATTGCAGAAAACCCCACAGGACCACGTGTACCACTTTCACCAAAATGCTGTCTTTCATATGAGAAAAAGCTCTTTAAAAATGACACATGGTAGGAAATGCTTCTTCGTATTGTCCTGTAAAAACCACACAACTGGAAAATGCCGCTTGTATTTCCCGTGCTGAACATGAAACCGTGCACAGATCACAGTGTACATTTCACAATCACATTCTAATCCAGAAAATCAAAGCTGTGCAAGATACTTTCCCCACTGTTCATTTCAAAATCTTGCTTAAGCTTGTAATACATGCAAGCCCTGAAGGTGTGTGGAAAGATAGCTACAAAGCAGTTGCCAACAGTAATGAGCCAAACCTTGTGAAGATGTAACTTTCAAACTGCTTTTAACCTAGTGTGTGTAAAATAAAGGTGTAGCCTTCTTTAATTGTCAGATCTATTTATATCTGGGTAGGTTACACATGGGTTTGCTTATCAGTGACAGAGATTGGCAAAGAAATGTGATAATCCATGATCTAAAAAGGGAACCAAAGCCAACCTTGACTGGTGGCTGAGAGCCCTTTTTGATCTGAAAAAGGCTTGTGGGCCTCAAGGCTGGCCTGTTTTGTCATTTATTGTAGGAAAACACAGCACCCCTCCCTACCTTGATCCTATGTTGACAGGACTATCACATACCATACTTGTAGGTAAGTAGATAACACATCACAACACATGCTAAACCTAATCATATCAGATTTGGGCTTTGTATCAAAAACGCTGCGCCCCAGCTCATGCAGAGGAGTTAGAACAAGCTTTTCCAGAAAAATGGAAATTAGACAGCTGATTGATTGCAGAGGAAAATAAGAGAGCTGGTTCAGAGGGTGGCCATGCAGAGCTCTAACTACCGATTAACACCTTGGCCATCATCTAGATCGTTGCGTGTTAATACAGCATGAACTTTTCAGTGTCAGCTCTTGCTGCAGCTGGAGTTTTCCAGTAGCCTTCACGGCTAGTTTCAAACAGGCTGGGATTCAGCAGTTTTCTCTGTTTGCTGTTGTATCAGAGGGTCTAAAGGACTAATGAGCCAAAGAGGATTAGGGAATACTTTTAGAAGTAGATGCCACTGATCATCTTCAGACTTCACAGAAGATCCTTTTATTTTTACTGGTGACATCTCAGAGAGAGTCATGTTTTATAACAGCTTTTCCTTCTTTGCCCCATTTTCCCAGCTATGTACTGGGAGATGGTGAAGCATAATGAGGCTTCACTGGTACTAACCTATGAGCAAGCTGTATCTTGTTACATTAAGGACTCTCCACTCTGGGTGGTAAGCTGCCATCTTCCCAGGAACCCCAGGAAAACCT